TGACCTGACAACAAAATGCGCAGCAAAAAGTAAATTTGTCCTTGTAAGCTTGGGCAAATATATAGACGTTCTGTTTGACATTGGAAAGTTTTTTTTTTACATACGTACGTAGCTGGGATTTAAATTGTAGTCACGTATGCCTAATTTGGAAAACGATTACTTCTTATTTGAAGGGAAGATTACTTCACTGATGCTACCTGGTTTTTTAGAGTGCATTTTTGGTGATAAGTAAATCTGTATGAATGAGATAGTTCAAAGGGGTGAACTCCTTTTAAATCCGTCGTAAAATCGAATATATTCACAGATCAAATAAATAAATTTAAAAAAATGTAAGTTATTAGCATGCATGTCTACGTTTATTGTATATATTAAAGCACGCATTAAATACAAACATTTTAAAGCCGCTCGCCTTCATATTGATGAATTTTATTGATTTTTATGAAAACTTTAAGAAACTGTTCTAATGAGTATACAAATGTTTTCATACGTTTAAACTTATACAAAATGTATTTAAATGATATTTTCCAACCCTAAGACTCTCGCTTTTCACAAAAAATCAGCTTCATCCTGCCTAAATATGCAGAATTTCCCCTTGATCCGTTAGTAACGGGATAGAAGGGGTAACATATTTAATCTTGTCATAATACATTCCATTTTTTATATATATTTTTTAATTCTTAATTGTCATATTAATATATTGCATAACGACAAGTACATATATACATATGTTGTTCTTAAGTAAGAATTTTGAAGATGCATTTAAGTCACCTGGAGGCGTGCCACTTTAAAGTGTTTTAGCAGTGATGATTTCATGAAATGCACGCGCATTATGCTGTGAAACAGACCTGTTTCAACTTCCTAGGACCCTTGTTGTTTACACGTCTCTGAGAAGGCACATGACAATTGAAAATCCACTGCAACGTGTAAGACGGCAAGTTCGCATGTTTTCTACAGCTTGGGGTAACGTTAAAGGTGGCACGACTTGGCCTCCATGAAGTTAACTGCCGGTGTCCTGACAAAAGCCGAAGGGAGTGGCATATAAAGTAGACAGGGACGACGAGAAAAGTGTACTAGGGTGCATGAGCTGCATTTAGTGCCTTAACAGGCGGATGGACATCATTTCATAGAATACATACATACATATATACAGACCTGTTTGAAAATTCAGAGCTAGGGCAGTCGGTCAAATATAACGCATGTGGATCCTTATAACTCATATACAGTACGGTCGTTCAAGGCCGAATAATTCACTAACTGAGACTCAATTAAAAGTACTTTATTGGCAAATAATTATAGTGCAGAGTCAATTCTAAAGAAAAAAATTGGGCTGATAAATAGATTCGAAACTAACACAGAACATAACTTCAAACAAATAGAGAAAGGTACAATCACGAATTGCTTCGAGTAACATTCTTGTGGGCTCAAACCCAACTCGGCGACGACCTTGAATCCACAAATGACGCAAGCACTGGTTAATCCCATGAAGTGGTTCAAAAACACTCCAGACATACAACGCGATTGAACTATCGAACTAAAATCAATAGTTTTTAATCAAAGAAGATTATCTAAAAATATCAACAAAAAAATATTTCTGAAACGTACGCTTAAGTGTTCGCCCACTTGTATCATATAAGTCTTATCTATCGTTTATGATTTGTCAAAAAATTGATAATAAATAAAAATGAAAATCTTAGATCTTGGGCCATTGTTTTGAGAATTTTAAACTCTGGATCTGGAGAATTCCTAAACCCTTGATCCTTTCCAGAACTGAATAAGATAATCTCTTATCTGATCAAAAGTTTACACGAGTTTATTTTGAATTGTTATCTAAATTGAAAAGAATTGTAAACTGAAAAAATAAGGCCCAGGTATACTTTTTCAGTAATGTCAGAAGAAAATGATAGTTTTGTTCATGTCAAAGAGTTTGAAAATCTAGATTGAATGAAATTAGGTGTGTAGAACATTTTTAATGACAAACTACCAATCCATGAAAACAACAGACACAACAAAAACAACAACAAAGAACTCTTTTTTTTGTTGTTTTGTTTCTGTTTCTGCTGGTTTAGTGGCGTCCGTGGCCGAATGGTCAAGGTCATTGACTTCAAACCGTGTGTCCTTTACCGTTGTCGGTTCGAGTCCCATTAGGAACTTCGGATTCTTCCATGCTAGGAAACTATCCAGCTAGCTTATCAAACGCCGGTGGTTCTACTCAAGTGCCCGTTCGTGCCTGAAACAATGCACGGAGAGGCACTAGTGAGCTTCGTCCACCAGTAAACCTGTCGCCATTTGACCTATACTGTGTTGGTTCAACGTAAATACCAACCAATAAAAAGGTACTGCCGTGAAGCTCATGCAAAGTTGCAAACCCAATTTGAAAAAAAAAGACTTTTTTTAAAATAAGAACATGCTGGGTCATATTTTGTGACTTACGTGGAGCTGCACTGAATAATGTCCTAATAAAATGGTAAATGTGGTATTTTTAAATGTACTTTATACAACGTTAAAGGCCTATTAAACCTCAGAAATGCTATCAATTTTATTTCTCAATGGTATCTTGTTACACTTTCAAAAACATGCTCATTTTCTATATGCATGAACTGTCTTCTGCTACTTTTGCTCTGTTGGCTATTGATATAATGATAGTGAATTAGTATTTTGCATGGCAGTCAAAATACTACTTTGTTTACATTTTGCTACCTTTACGAACCATAACAGCATGTTCAGCGTTGTAAAACATCTAACATGCTGTTAACCCATTATTCAAACATTCTTTAAGGCATTTGATATTTCTAAAGAATAAAAAATGGATTTCTGAAGCAAAATGTGCCTTTAAAATACAAACTAGACTGTTAAAAGTGGAAAAAAACTTGATCTGTTTAAATTCGAGTACTTCTTTAAACAATAACATTATTGTTAAAACGTAAGATAACGGTAAAGCGAGTCACAACACTGATTCGAAAAAAGGGGCCACTTCAAGTCCATTGTTTCTACCTTGTTTACAAACGTTTTATACCGAATTAACCTTATTTGAGTCATAACCCAATCTCTTCACGGCATGTTTTGATGCACTCTTTTATCTATCGGTCTTTGTTTGTTTAATATACCCCATCTCATCATTAGCCCAAGTTTGGGCATGGATGGGATCGTTTGTTGACATACAATTTCGGGTATTCGAGTGGGGGATGTTTGTTTTAGGGTGTGATAAAGCTCAATACCTATAGATATTTATTGGCTTAATATAACGTCCCGACATATATTAAGATATACCGTTGTCGTAATATTTACAGTGCATTGCGCAATTTTGAAATTAGGGGTCAATATCTCTAAATCGCCTGAACTCGTAAATACTTTTATCTTACCTTTTTCATAATTGGTTTTGATTTAGGAGGCTTGAATCATAATAAGAAAAGTGCATAGCGACGCAGGAATGCATGCATCGTGTTTATAGTATATCTCCTCTCCGTTGTTCAGTAGTCTCCTCCGAACTATCTATGCTGAAGACGTACTTTATTGTATAGTAAGGAAAGACCAGATTCATGAAGACACAGACTATCAAAGAAAAAAAGACACTATGAGGTATCAGGAAGACCCCTTATATTTCAATAAGGGGACTACTCTAGTCTTCAACCGTTGCGCGTTGTATGATTTTTAAAAACCTTCTGTTGATTTGTTTGCACCATCTCTGGCTGCACCCATTGCAATTAAAATATTTAAGATATTGAGTACCGAGTTCACCCCATTTTTTTCCCCGATCCCGTGTGACTCGAACGCTGTTTTAAATTCATCTTGTAGACAAGCGTAACTCAAAACTAGACAGTTATATCCCTTTTTTAATAAAGCATCTTTTTATTGTACCGAGATTTCATCACCCAAGAACACAATAAAGGAGTTCAAATAGATATATATTATTATTCTTTAAGATATATATTGTGTAATTTCAAACGTACATCAATATCATTGAAAATTAAGTAGGAAAATTGGGCGTAATGTAATAAAAGTTGTCTGCAAAATTGAATCGTTATTAGACTGACGCTTTGATGTCATTTCAACATGCATCTTTCCGTGTGAAATTAATAACATTGCCGTAAGTTTTTTTCTTTTTTTAATGACTGTTCAATTCGCCACACAAGTAAACAGTTTAAGTGCATTTTAAACATAAACTATATACATTTTAATTTTTTTATAAATAATATCATAAACTTGTAAAAATGGTTTAAATTGAAAATTTGATAAATAATCAACAACAGATCAACTACACACGAAAATCAAGAAAAACAACAACAACAACAAAAACAAACAGCTAAACACATAAGATGATACACAGTGAAACCTTTCTTAAAGGCCTTCTGTTGAAGTCATACAACATATAGCATAACCCTAATATCCAAGGCCATCGTTCCACTATCATAATTAGAAGAATAGAACACGAGCATTTAAAAAACAAACAAAACAACACAAAAAATCTTCTTTTTTCATTTAAAGAAATAACCAATTTTTGTCCACTTAAACAACTTTACTCATAAGCGAATAAAACCCTTTCTGTAAAAACAACTTTAATTTCATTAAAAAAAAACCTACTGTTTTATTTCCCATGATTGGCTTATATTTACAACGGTTTGATTATATTGACGAGCAAAACATGCAACACTCAAAATTATAAAAGTGGATTACATGAATGATTACATGAATGATAGCATTTGAGAAAAAATAACTACTGCCTACGACAAATATCATGGCATATGACTCGAACTCGAGAGATGACAAAGCAAAATGTGTGCATACACTCACTTCCTAGTCGTAACAAGTACTTATATATTTTAAGTTTAAACCCATGTTGCACCACTTGAACTGTCCTGAAATACATAACAGGTTGTTTATTCAACAACAAAATAATTTATTCAACAACAAAATAATTTATAAAGTGCAAAAAAGGATTTAATATCCAGATTAAAATGCAAAATTTAAAACACTTTTTATGTTTTAATAACCGAAGGATTTCACACGTGGTAAAAATATACAATAAACCAATCAATCATTTATGGTTTGTTTAGTATAAGATTGCTAAAAGTTTTCAGGAAGCATTGTTTTAGAGAAAGGACTAAAGAATTTACAGGATATTAACTGAATCTGTTTTGTCTCACTGTAGATACTCTAATTTTTATAATAAGTTTGTATCACTGAAGTATTACTCTATTTGTTTTGTATCACTGAAATATTACTCTACTTGTTTTGTATCACTGAAGTATTACTCTACTTGTTTTGTATCACCGAAGTATAAATCTACTTGCTTTGTATCACTAAAGTATTACTCTATTTGTTTTGTATCATTGAAATATTTATCTACTTGTTTTGTATCATTGAAGTATTACTCTATTTGTTTTGTATCATTGAAGTATTACTCTACTTGTTTTGTATCACTGAAGTATAAATCTACTTGTTTTGTATTACTCTACTTGTTTTGTATCACTGAAATATAAGTCTACTTGTTTTGTATTACTCTACTTGTTTTGTATCACTGAAGTATAAGTCTACTTGTTTTGTATTACTCTACTTGTTTTGTATCACTAAAGTATAAGTCTTCTTGTTTTGTATCATTGAAGTATTACTCTACTTGTTTTGTATCACTGAAGTATTACTCTATTTGTTTTGTATCATTGAAGTATTACTCTACTTGTTTTGTATTATTGAAGTATTACTCTACTTGTTTTGTATCACTGAAGTATTTCTCTACTTGTTTTGTATCACTGAAAGTATAACTCTACTTGTTTTGTATCACTGAAGTATTACTCTACTTGTTTTGTATCATTGAAGTATTACTCTACTTGTTTTGTATTATTGAAGTATTACTCTACTTGTTTTGTATCACTGAAGTATTACTCTACTTGTTTTTATTGTATCACTGAAGTATTACTCTACTTGTTTTGTATCATCAATTAAGTATTACTCTACTTGTCAATTTGTTTGTTATTACTGAAATATTACTCTAATTGTTTTGTATCACTGAAAATAACATTGAAGTGGTACCCTAATTGTATTACTTTACTAGTTCCGTATCCCTGAATAATTATTCTACTTTTTTGTATCACTGAAGTAGTACTTCAATTGTATCACTGACATATTACATATTCTACTTGTTTTGTAGCATATTTTCACATTTTCGGTTTGTTAATTTTTAAAAATTTGAATTGCAGCAGTCACAAGAAATAACATGACGTAAAGATAACATAATGATATGATTTGATACCGGCAGTATAGAGCATTTAAAAATGTATATTGGCAAAACACGTAATTTTTCATGATAACTTATTATGACGTCACAAACAAGTACTTTAATTACCAAATCAAGACGCGGTCTATTTATAGTGACGCCAAGACTTAGGTGGATATTTTCAAACACATATGTATCATTATATGAAGATTAAAATTCATAAACGTTACTAAATGATTTTTGTTTAAATGTGGTAACCACTCGAAAAAATGACGTCTGTAATGTGCGTTCAATGATGTAATGAAAATAAACATGTGACATTGTGGCTTGAATAATCGAAACAAAGGAAATTCCTCAATTCATCAATTCGGAAAAAAATGATCGTTCATTAAAATATGTATACTAAGATCTGATTTGACTAGCATTTTTTTCGTACATTGGTTAAAAAATGTTTTTATGAGCATTTGGGCACCTATAACCAAATCTGCAATTCCGTGACCGATTACAACCTATAACAGAATTTCAAGGTCAATGTTTACCCATCGTGCTTTTAACCCAGAAGCTATTTATAACCAACCAATTAAACCTCTTAAATTCAAATACATTTAGCCAATCACTTTTCGTAGATCTATATTCTTCACATTTTTAAACCAATCATAAACCAGCTTGTAATTATCTAGTGTTCTTCGGTTTCTTGGTCAATGTACGGTACATCCGGGTATTCATCATCATCATTTTGACCTTTGGATATTTTTCGTAGTTCTTTATCCTTTTCCTCTTTGAACTGGTTCCAAATGTGTTCAACAAGATCAGCAACTACTACGTCTGAAGAATTTAGAGACAGTATTCTTAGAACAAAGCAACCATCATCCCTGAAACAAAAGTATATAATGAATAATGAACTGTTCTGAAAATAGCTGCACACTTCGGAAAAATCCGTAATTTATCGTTAAGTTCCGTGAGTCGATGGACTAGGCACAGTCAGTCCTATTAGAAACGTGCAACAAACGTGCAACAAGTAAAATGGTTTCCTTGGGTGAATAATTTAATGATGTAAAGATATTTCATTTAACTACTTTCAACATTATTTGGGGGTTGGGGATCAATCAATGTTTGTATCAGGAATATAGTTGACAATTGAATAAACGATCAATATAGAAGAAGGTCTTTGGAAACTGGTAACAGTTGAAGAACATAAAAAAAAAATATTTCTTTTTAAGAAAATGATTGAATATGCCTACCATTTTATGAATAATTCCGAGAAAAAAATAAATAAAGTAAACACACATGTTTACGCAGAAAATATCTCTATTTATTTAAGCAGATGCCGCTACGAATCTTTTAATTTTGTAGATTTTCAATATAAACAATTTATTGTTTGTAAAATTTGAGATAGATATTAAACAATGATAATTTTCAAACACATCATTCAAGTTTTTCCACTTTAAACGGTAAAATAATTTTCAAAAATAAGAAATATCACGTAATAGTTTTTTGTTCTTAATTAGGTTATTCGGACTAATTCCCTCCAGGTAAATCCGTAACGTACCGGCAAACGGTATTTAGCTAGGTTTTCGAAAAGATCATTTAACCAATCATGTACGGTTAACAGATCACATGCTCCTCCATGTACCGAAAACAGGTCACGTGCTCCTCCATGCCTCAAAAGTTAAACGCGTACCAATACCCTGCGGTCTCCGTACCGCAGGGAACAAAATATATAAATACAAGACTAAATATATTTGATCTTTTAGAACCAAGCCATCATGAACTGCTTTCAAGTACGTATGTACTCGTTATGAACTTAATTCATCAGAAAAGAATGCAGATCCAAATTTTTGTTGATTTCAATATTTTTTGCGCATAATTTGTTTATTAAAAACATAAGTTAATTTCTAAACCTCAGAGGGTTTTTACCATCTAGCCAACCATAGAATGGGGGGAAGGGGTCATGACCACCTCAATTCCCCCCTCTGGGTCTTCATATGACAAATATACGAATAATGTACACAGTCATATCTAATACTAAAATGAGATCGGCTTCTTTCGCAAGCAAAATAATATCCCTAAAGAAATTTGTCAATTTTGATAAATACATGTACACTAAAAAAGCGTGCAATAAAATGTTTAACTGCCATTGGCAATAAATTAGTCTGCGTATGTTGCAAAAACCACTTAATAATATATACGCTTGATATATTTGTTATGAACGGTTTCAATTGAACAAACTGGTAATTGTAAAATTATACATTTTCCTGTCGTAAAATATATGACATACATGCACGTGTGCACGTAAAGTTTATGCATACGAGTAAATCTACGGAAACTTATAAGAACCAATATATAGCGGAATACATATTTTTTATTAGCATGTTAATGACCCTTGAAGATAAGAAATAAATATGATTTTTTTACATTAAAACCAGTAATGCAAGTTTCTCCCATAACGTGAAACTGAATATTTAAAGTACCGTAACAACAGTTACTTATGAGTATCCATTAAATATTCTCTTTTGTGAGCAGAGAAACACATTTGAAAACATAACACTTTTACAACTGTATGCACGTTTGAGTGATAGTTAATCCGAAATTGACTTTTATGTCATTTAATATTTGTCTAGTGTAAATGTATTATTTTATTCCTTTTATTTCAGAAAAAGATAATCCAAATAACAATCAACCTCTTTTATTTTCGATTTCTTTACATATATTAAACACAGTTTGTGTTATATATGGTAAGACGTGCCTAAAAGCCTTTTTAATTGGATAAGGATATAGTTATCATTATTTCTAAATATAATCTAATGATGTCCATTTTATTTAATCATCATTACAGCTGAAATGATTTGGCACTTCTTGGACACCATACTTTAAATCAAAGCAAAGTTGTTGATAAATTTGAAATATAACTTAAGACGATATGTTTTTACAAAATTTTAATTTTATGAATGTAAAAAAATATCCCAGTAACATCGAAATAAATGTCATACTTTCTTTTTTTGCTATTGCGTAAATCTAAATGATACACGCTGCACATTTTATGAGCATTTATGTGGTATGTTTAAATGTTGCTTTACATTTTAAAACATTAACATAATACTTGATGTATCGCATTAATTTTGATCTAAGAGGCTAATTTAATGAAATATGTGATGCATATATATCAATGTAAGAGGACATACAGGGACAAATTCAAACAAACACTTCACATTATGGCAATTTTTTTTCTGTTAAAGGCACATTTTGCGTTTAGAAAAACAAATTGATGTTTACTTCTTTAGAAAGGGCAAACATGAATTTTTATAATGTTTAGATAATGGTTTTAAAGAATGTTAGATTCTTGTTAACTGAAGGAAGTAGCAATAAATATGATATTACTTGTCATTAAAGTAGAAAAGTGTAAACAAATTATTGTTTTGACTTCCAAACAAAATACCAATTCACTATAACTGTACTTGTATCGTAGTTCGGAGACCTTTCTGTTGAAAATGTGTCAGGGTTAAATCGTATACATATACATGCACAGTGCGTTAACTGGAGTGCGGGGATTAGTTACCCGCACTCCAGAGCATGCCCATTGATTGGCTCATTTTTGCTGGGGTTTACATATTTTGACGGCAGAGAAAGTAGAGCGACAGAAATATCATATTCAGATGTTCGTTCATTGGTTCATTTTTGCCGGGGTTTCATATTGTGACAACAGGGAACGTTTTTTTTTATGTTTACTATGATACAAAAGAGAAAGAACACCAAAACACTCGGTAATCTAATTAATACTCGTGGGCTACGCCCCCTCGTACAAATCAGATAACCTCGTGTTTCGGTGCTCTTTCTATTACATATTGCAATAAACAAAAAAAAAAAAAAAAAAAAAAAAAAAAAAAAACAAGAGCCGGTTGAACCGGGTGATGCTCCCCGATTACGTTTTGGACACAGGAAGGTATACCTCTTGTTGTGTCAGAGTTATGCCACAGACAAAAAAGTTCAAAGTGTAAAAACAACCCATTATTGTGCACAACACATTGTCTCAATATTGTGATCATTTTCGTGAAATAGTTGTAAAATCCGACTTCAAATAACGAAGTAATGCGCCGGACATGATTTTGCTGCAAGGTCATGACATGACCTTGACCTTTAAGGTAGGGACCCAAATGTTGCATGCCACACGTCGATTCAATATGGTGATAATCTCTGTGAAATATATGTTAAATCCGACTTCCAGTAACAAAGTTATGGGCCAGACACGCTTTTTGCTGCAAGGTCATGCTGTGACCTTGACCTTCAAGGTGGAGACCCAAATGTTCAGGACCCTGCGTCTCAATATGGTGATCATTTCTGTGAAATATTTTTAAAATCCGACTTCAAATAACAAAGTTATGGACCAGACACGTTTTTGCTACAAGGTCATGCTGTGACCTTGACCTTCAAGGTAGCGACCCAAATGTTGCACGCGACACATCGTTTCAATATGGTGATCATTTCTGTCAAATATTTTTAAAATCCGACTTCAAATAATGAAGTTATGGACCGGAGACGATTTTGCTGCAAGGTCATGCTGTGACCTTGACCTTCAAGGTAGCGACCCAATTGTTGCGCGCGACACATCGTCTCAATATGGTGATCATTTCTGTGAAATATTTTTAAAATCCGACTTCAAATAATGAAGTTATGGACCGGACACGATTTTGCTGCAAGGTCATGCTGTGACCTTGACCTTCAAGGTAGCGACCCAAATGTTGCGCGCGACACATCGTCTCAATATGGTGATCATTTCTGTGAAATATTTTTAAAATCCGACTTCAAATAATGAAGTTATGGACCGGACACGATTTTGCTGCAAGGTCATGCTGTGACCTTGACCTTCAAGGTAGCGACCCAAATGTTGCGCGCGACACATCGTCTCAATATGGTGATCATTTCTGTGAAATATTTTTAAAATCCAACTTCAAATAATGAAGTTATGGACCGGACGCGATTTTGCTGCAAGGTCATGCTGTGACCTAGACCTTCAAGGTAGCAACCCAAATGTTGCGCGCGACACGTCGTCTCAATATGGTGATCATTTCTGTGATATAGTTTTAAAATCCGACTTCAAATAACAAAGTTACGGGCCGGACACGAATTCGGGACGTACGTACGTATGTACAGACGGACGGACTGACGGACGGACAGACAACCCGACGACTATATGCTCCCCCGAAATTTTTCGGGGAGCATAAAAAACAAACAAACAAACAAAAAAAAACAGATGAAAAAGATGGTTCATGTAATTGGTCAAAGAGTAACGTTTTTTGATACCATAAAAGCAAACAAAAACTAAATAGCTTTTGAGAAATAAAAATTAAAGCATTTCTAAGGCAAGATGGGTCCTTAAAACACTATACAAACCTCAGATAGAATTCAGCGAATCTGTGGCAGAGTTTCTTTTCATAGACTGTCATGGTTTTCTCCTCACCAGTCTTAGAGACCTTCAGATATTTCCGCACAAACATGTAGTTATTCTTCCTCATTACAAGCAATAAGAACCACTGAAATAAAAGTATATTTGCAACATGTTTCAGAATGGTTTTTGTGTTAAAGGGACTCCACTGATTTTCTTTTTGACATGACTGGACTGGAAACTATTTTCCGAGATTATTAGGGTGTAGACCAATAACTTGTGTGCAAAATTTCAGATCATTTGCTCTCTTCGTTTCCACACAATAATTATTTTGTTGAAAAATGACTCAAAGTTTCACTCAAATCGGGCTAAGAATTGAACAAAAGTACTATTTCATTTTTTTCTTGGTATATCTCTTTATTAACCTATAGCTCTTCAGCACTTCTTATGTAAAATGCTTCCAAGTATAATTTCCAATAATCGTAAATTATACCATACCCAGACTATGGTATAATTTTCAGTTTTGAAGATCGAAGGAGTAAGTGTTTCTGGGCGGAGCTATAGGTTAAAACAGATACACCATTGGTGCGTTGACAATTTCTGGGTTTGCGTAAATTATACCATAATCACGTGACCTTTCTTATGCAGCCTCACTCGACTTCGTCTCGTGCGGTTAAGGCATAAGAAAGGTCACGTGATTATGGTATAATTTACGCAAACCCAGAAATCGTCAACGCAGCAATGGTATATCTATTATCTTGCTTATGTGTTTCTGTTTCAAGCGCCCCAGCTTTTGTATAAAAAAAATAAAATTTTATATTCCAGACTTTTGGACCTCAGTGGAGTTTCTTTTAAATAAACACTTTTTAAACACAATTGTAAAAGGTGGAACCCTTAAGAAAGTCTAAATCAGCAAAAAATGAAAATGTTGTAGGCTCGGTTTGATTGAGCCTGTTCACTGACATTGGTATATGCAATGTACAGTCCATGCCCCCCCCCCTAGCACCGGCTTAAGTAGAATTAAACAATTAGGCAAAAATGCTCAGATAAAATTCGGTTGGTCTGTCGGGAATTTGAATCACGGAAAATTAATTAATACATGTACCATATCGCCATGCAGAGGTATAAATATGATAGGAGTCTGAAGTTAATTAGCGCAAGGGTGAATACTAGTTTGTCTTTAATTTTTCTTAAAATAAAATTATATCATAAGTAAAAAGAAAAGCAGAAGAAAATATCGAGATAAACACCATTTATTTGACACAGAGTGACAGATTTGATGATATAGGTATCTTACCTTGAAAAGATTGACACACGACAAGACAGCGATGAAAAATAACCAGAACCAAAGAAAGATAAAGACCTTCTCGTTGAAGAGATTGATTGGTAGAACACACTGGACTGTGTACCTGCAGAAAAATAGAACTTTGATAACGTGTCACATTGAAGGTTCCATGATAACCGCCGTATGAACACATCTGTGGATGTTTCTGAATTCAATTTTTCACCATTTTCGTGTTTAAATGTTGAATTCTGCTTGAGCCGGTGCTAGAGTCGTGGACGGTAAGTTGCATTTTTCAGTACCGTCAATGAATAGACTCAATCAAACCGAGCCTGCAACATTTTTAAATTATTTTATTCGTTCGTTCTTTCCGTTGTTCTATATTTTGTTTCAAGCCATTATTGATATAATCTGATAATCATCATCGAAGTCTACATTCTTTAAAATAGAAAGAATCCCAAAAGAAATTCTAAAACGTCAATGTTAAAAATGTTCTAGGTTCGGCATGATAGAGCCTGTACATGGACAGTACTGGAAAGTGCAAGCTACTGTCCACGCCCCCCTAGGACAGGCTTAAGCAGAATTCAACATTTTAATCGTTTGGTATCATTGTCGAAGTATGAATGAATGTTGCACTTAGAAAACGAGTAAAGCATCTTGTCTGAAGACAAAATATAAATAAAATAACGCATGTATATTCATGATTATTGACATACCTTTGGATGTTTTCCAGTTGGCGAATTCTGAAGTCACATAATGTAACCCTTGGAAATCGGGGACTTTCAAGCCAATTCTCAGAATCTGCTAAACCATTTAACACGTTGTATCCAAGGGAATTATAGTCCATTCCAAGAAAGCCATTAAGTAAATAAAATTGACATATGACATTGACTACATAAAATACTTTTATATTGAAATATAAAGCTGTCAAGTATTTCCCCTCTCGTTTATTACATACAAAACATAAGACTCGAGAAATCCGCGTTTTTGCACGTGCCACAAAATTATGCTTATTATGATAATGGTGCGAACGGAGCCACATGTCAAGAAAGATTGCCATGTGATTGATATGTTCGTCACGCTCTTTCTTTGATGCTAGCATAACTTTTTCAGATATAGAAACCAGTTTCATCAGGTTAAGGCCCGTGTGGGTGTTCATCATGGTCCAAAGCAGGTGTGGGAACTTGAACATGAATGCCATAAACATAAGTATCAGGGGAACCCATTGGTAATATGTCAGCTCGGCATTCTGAAATAAAAATCATGGATATCACTAGTTTAGAGTCCACCGGCTAAATACATGTATAATAAAATGCGGATCTATGAAAAGATAATCATTCGATGGTAGTAATCAAAGTTAACGCTCAATAATATAATTAGTATTCGTTTATACTGATTCAGTCAGGTCAAGATAGTAGAAGATCAAAGCATTTCAAATTTGATAGAAAACGAGAAACAAAAGACACGTGATAAATCAAATATTCTTAAACATGTATAATATGCAATAGATATAGATACATTAATTTTACAATTTATGGCTTTCAGGATAGTCTGGTTTCTAGGCTACATTTACTACGGCAAATAATGTAGTGTAAGTGGTAAGAACTCCAGACTCTTAAACATAGTCTTCTCCAAATCCCTCCCAATGCGTGCACGTCGCGGAGAATGCACACGGCAGGTCAAGGCGATTTCGTCTCAAGTACCAGAGACAATTGATTGACCTGTCGGGACTAACTCGGGAGGGTGGCACTAACAAGAGCCGTTTTATGTACCGCCTGTTTGCTGCCGTCACGGAACATGGTGCCTTGACAGTATCGTCATTCCCCCGCACCAACGAACAAACAACAGATTAAGGAAGATCGGCATGAAAAAGACGTCCCAGATCGGAAGTTTAGAGTGAACCGGCATGGACGCTGAGATCTCGGATACATGTATATGGAATTTCCGGCGCCGAGCTAAAATAAAACTAACAACACTAAAACAGAGAACATCTGGGAAAAATCTGCTTACCGATCGTACATTGACGTCAATCGGAATGGCGTCGCTGATTGGGACAAAGTACGTGTTCTTGATCCAACAGTACCACTTCGTGTACGCCTCATATGCGTTTGTAAACTCTGCCGGGACCCAGCAAAATATTGGATCCCCTACAAACTGATTGGTTGAAATCACTGTTGCAAGAATGATTAGGATTGTGACGGTGTAGACGTGGTTTAGCTTATCGATCCAATCATCCGTGGTACTACTTATAAGCTTCTTGAAGGTCACAAGACCTGTGACCGCTCTACAAGAGAAATACATTTTAATTTTGGAATGCTTAACAGTGGTGGTAAGTTTGGCAATTAAGTACATATGCCTCAGCAATCCATATTTATCAAATTCTTTAGAAATGTCAAACGTGTGTTTAATGTTTTAATAATGGATTTAGAGCATACTACATTTTAAACAGCTGAGTAGCTCTGAATGTGCAGTAATGTATCGTAAATGGTTTTTTTGTGAAACTGTAACAAAAAAGAAGTGTTTTAGAAATAAAAATGATAGCATTTCTGAGGCATAATGGCCTTTAAGAAAATTATGATGTCCACTCAAAGCTATCAATATATTAGGCATTCAAATAAAAAGAATCTTATAATGTCTAAAATGCATTTGATTATTGTAAACACTATTTGTTTTAAAAAGGCATCGTGCTTGGTTAAGGCGAAACTCAAATCAAGAAAATTAAAAGGAAAACGAAAGTATTAGCATAGATTAAGAATAAAACAAGAGTTAAAATTAACTAATAACTGGCGATTATTAATAATATCGTTTTGGCTGTAAGGTGGTTGCAAATAAGGCGTTTTCCGTTTACATTCCATCTATGCCTTGAGATGACATCACATTTGACGTAAAAGTTTATCATGACATAAAATGTTACGTTGAATATACTATAATTTTTCATAAAGAAGCAAAACTGAACTCACTTTATCGACATATTCTGACCTAATATATGGAAAACATAGAAATACAGTGCATATAGACTGGGCACAAGAAAAACTTCTTCTGTCTTGGACTGGTAATATGTGCCATCAGCTATGGTTCAAATAACCACTACACCTATGAAATAAATCAGTTACAATTAAAGTATATAAGCACATTACATGTATTTCAAGAATGACGTTTACCTTTACGCGACAAGTATTTGCATAAGGATATTAAAGATATTTCGAATTGATAAATAGTTTGCAGTTTTAAAACATACATTAGAGAAATAGGAATCCATGAAGAAAGTCAATAACGGCAAAATTGAAACTGTTGTAGGCTCGGTTTAATTGTTCAAAGCTGATTTCTTTGTTCTCTCTCTTCTGAAGTTTCTTTCATATACATATTTATATCGACTAGGTGCAACTGATTATCTAATTGTTTCAGTAAGAATATCAAATGTTTTAAATAAAGTTTAAATCAATGAAATTGGCATCTTATTTAAAACTCGAGCTTGCACCTATCAAGACAATACAAACGTGTGTTTGGTGTTCAGTTGTCCACGACCCCCACCTCCTAACACTGACTTTTGCAGTACTTGTCGAAGACGTTTATTATTCATGTGTAAACATACAATCTAAATAATCCACACGCCTGGGATTGTTTGTCTCTCTTAATAAATGAATGTGCTTATAAGACTTGCGTTACAAACAAATTGACCAATAAATATGGATACTGGATAGAGACATGATGGACGGTCTAATATCTAGTAACGCACTCGACCATAACATTAATAAATGTTCAAACTGTACATATCCATTTGAACTCGAAAATTGTCGGTAATCTGCACCACTATGGAATCTACTTCCTGAACCCTACCAGACCTGCATAGTGCCACATGGTTGTGACCAAAGTTCAGTTCGAACTCATGATTCCTGGTAAGAGAACCAGGCGCCTAAACCAATATGCCATCTCGTCCCTACTACTTGATTACTTGAGGTGGTATTAATATTCTTATTCATATTTTTCTCAAGATCAGTGACTAAATTGATCGTTTTACAGGTCTCAAAACTCAGTATAATTTTCAAACATCAACTAAGTCCAGCTACACAATCTTTATCCGCTAGTATGTCTTTTGGTGCGGAGACGTCATGACGGAATCAATCTGGTTTAAACCAGCTCCTAAAATGTTCTACTCCTTGTAAGAAATATGTGTCAGATTGGGACGAATTGGTTTGACCTTGATTCATGCAGTTACCGTCCAATCAAAAAGCATGCATGCATGCTATGTCCACAGCATTTCGGTGTGAAAAAATAAAAGCCAAACATCACACACACACAAAAAAAGAAGAAATATGGCAAAGATAAAATATATTTCACATGTCAGAAAATGTTTTATTTGCAAAGCATGTATTTACAACAGTAAAATATTCGAGAACATCATAATAGTTAATATTACTTATAACTAGACTGTTTAATTGACATTAGGCATACTTAACAAATGAGTCACGTGACAAAATATGTAATAACACTCACAAGATGAACATTATTCATATACTTACATAATCGTCATTGTTTCCTATAGTCTGCTTCACTTTTCTTGAAAATTTCCAATTTCAATCTATAGTCCTTTTCATTTTTTCAAACGTTTTTTTTTTTATTCTTCGTTTTTACAATAATTTTTTGAAATACATTCTTTTCATAAATGTATGCAGTGACAATCGTCGTTAAAAGTATATCAGTTTTGCAATATTCCTTTCGATTTTGTTTTTCACAAAACAGATATCAAATATATTTTCATCGAATAATTATCCCATTTTATTCCAATTGCTTTAAGAAAGAATAGTAAACGAAAAATATGAAAAATAACTGACGCAGCAAATCTGTTTTATCCAAATAATGTTTTTGTACCGATTTTATTTTAGCTCTTTAGGATTTAAATATTTCAACCTTTGGTATTTTATAATGAATGTATTGTTTTCATTGAAAAATCATACAAATGACAGAACAGAAGTCCAGATCCCACGGTCAGATTATATTCTAAAGTCTCGGAGAGTTAATGTCCGAAAAAGAAGAAGAACAACAAAAAATTGATAAAAATAAGAATGCACTGCGCGAACAGAATATCGAAAGACCTTAATGTACAATTCTGTTACAAAATATTCAATATCTAATCAAATATTATTTTATTTTTCGTAGTTTTTATTTAACTTATCTTTTGAAACAATGTAGTTTTAATTACAGTATATTTACTTAGATAAAATCATGATGTATATATGCATAAAGTATGGAGAAGCATTGTTTTAGTGGCTTATCAAGATTTGGTTGCTTGACAATAAATTATTTCAGATCAGTATCTCAAAGTCTGAGTTATCTGTCCCTTGTTCTAAATATGGTACAAGTCAGGTACCAGCAATACCTTAAACCGGTTACGCTCTATTCTATTTTTAGAAACATTTTACGACATCATGCATATTATTTCCCTCGTGATATCATATTACAAATTAAAAAAAATGAGATAATTTGATATCTGCTGTGCAATGAAAGATATATTTGATAATACAATAGTACGTCACAACAAATAGTTGTCAAACGAAAAAATAAAACAATGCATCGAAAACAATTAAAACATACTGTTACACCGGTTCTGACAATTTACAATGATATAAAACATGTGAAAGTGAAATAATTCAACAAATAAAAATGATAATATCATCATGTTTCTAATATTAAATAAGATAATATGATATTATTATGCCATTGGATTTTATTGGACGAGAATACAGCTGTTAAACCTATATTATGTTTTGCATCTGTATACGAGTCCAATATAACCAGTATTGTATAATGACATCTTTAATTCACACCAACAGTTTTTAAGGAGTAATTACAAAAATCGATTTGTTTGACTCTGGAAATGAAAACAAGGCCGGATGAAGTACACTTATAATAGGGTATGAAATTTGTATTTTCTGGCTAGATTGAGTACAATATGGATAATCTTTATTACGCTAATGTCAACCATATATCAGATAAAAGTAAGGCTATATGACCATAACAAAAAACAGAATTGAAAGACATTCTCTCTTAATATATGATAAAAACTATAGTTACCGTACTATGAAGTTACAGTATATTGGTAACAAAACAATATTTTTTAATATTGAAAATATAGAATTAATCAATTTTTTCATAAATTAGATTGTAATTTAGAACCTTTATACATCGTCATTATTAACGTCATCACAATTTTTGAGATAATTTGCGTCACCGTTCGAAAACTGGCAACAAAGTTATTGAATACTGTTTTAATGATGTAACGAAACTTATTGACCGGAAGTACTAGTATGCGCAATAAATAAAGTACATTCGTTGTCTTTTTCGTTTAATTTATTTTTCTCAATGCTCATAATTTTCTTTCTCCATGAAGGAGCCATCATCGGTGGTTTCGCTAAGGCTCGTTTCGCTCTTTTTCGCTCGTTTCACTTTTTGTCTATATTTGTCAAACATACAGTCTAGCAGGTCTGCGGTGACTAAATCTGTCGTGTTGATGGCAATCATCCGGGCAACAAAACAGCCGTCATCTCTGTGAAAATGTAAGATAAATACGTGAGATTATCATATTGTAGACAATTTCATTTAAAAGAATTATGCTACATATAAAGTAGAATTTAAACTGTTTAACAGACTTTATTAAAACTTTTGCATGACCTTACAATTAGATAACAAAATTAAACCGAAAAATGGGCAGATAACTCGAAAACGAGGTCGGTGACCTTCAATTTTCTTTCGCCTATAAATGTTCATTCTGAATCACTAAGAACTTTATCAACATTTATTTTCTAGAAAGATTTTATAGATATATCCAAATGATGTATTTCTATTTTTTTTAATCATTAATATCTGAAATACTAATGGAAAACGTGCCCATTGTAGACCAATCCACTTTAAAGTGTGTCGGTTGTCAAATTGTAAAGGTTGAGTAAAATTTTATCCTTCAATTTTCATTCGGCTATAATGTATGTATGTAATTTTAGCATACTATATGCCTTTAATACAAATGATTATCTAATCTTACTGAAAAGATGACGCAACTACCATGCCTCTATTTGTCGTGCTACGTCTACATTATGTCTACTTTTATAGTAATTTTATCGTACTTTTTATCATATTTTACAAAGTTATATTTTTAGTTCAAAGGAATTAACGCCCTATATCTTTTAAGTATATAGTTATCTCGTATTTTAAGACTTATAATCACATGTACCACATTCTTGTTTTTTATGACATGCACACATCGTTGTCTAATCCTTCATTCTTTTTTTCCGAATTTACAACACACGTCAATTACACGGTAAATTAAACAATCTTTAGGTACACTCAAAACAAAAATTCACGCTTATGTTATGTCAGAAAACAGAGCCCTACCTGAGATAATTGTCAGCAAACTGCCGACATAGCTGTTTATCTTCTGGTCCAATTCTGCCGGAAAGTTTCAGGTATTTTTTCACATACATGTAGTTGTTTCTTTTAAGCACTATAAGGTATAGCCACTGAAATTGGAAAGAAAATACAACTACTAGTATATATTAAAGCGACTCAGTTATATAAATATTGTGATTACAAATACATGTATTAATATTGACGAAGGCAATAACTTGAGTGCAAACTTTCAGATCATTGGCTCATTCCGTTATTTTTCCCAAGAATAATACGCAGGTTTGACTGCCTCTGTACTGGTGGCAAAGACCCCATTTCGGTTCCAGCAAGGTATGAGTTTATATTGACTAAAACTAACATACGAACCCTTCTAATCCGGTCACCTATGGCAAATATGATTTTAATGAATACTATAGACACTTATTTCTAAATCGTATAAAACAATTTCTTATATCTTTGCATATTTGAATAATATCGTCAATTCGAAAAAAAAATAATAAAAAAAAGAAAAAATCACATGAAAAATCTTAGTAACTGGCCTTCAGAGAACATGAATAATGGACATATGATACTTTTTTAATTGAAAGCGGCATTTTAAACAGGTATGGTCGTTTAAGATATCTTCCAAACAGATATGTGCAAGCCACATTCAAATCAAATAATAAATATGGTCGTTTAAGATATCCTCAAAACAGATAGATGAAAATGGTCTGTTATACATGAATGGTTGTTAAAGATACCCTTCATACAAGATATATGATGCATCCATAGCACAAACTAATTCTTTTTAAATTTTCAGAAAAATAACCTCCTGGGTGCCATCTAATATTTCGATGTGTTTTTTCCCTGCACTTAATCTTCACAGGTGGTCTATTACTGTTTTAAAATTTACTTTTCCAGCAAGATAACCTACTTGAATGTTGTCTATACAGCAGGTTTAACATCGTGAGATATTTTGAAACTTTTCTGTGCAAGTTTGTGCCCCATAATCGCTTTTATTGAACATTTAACACCCCAAACTAAGCCCATGGATATAAAACTATAGAAAAGATAGAAAAAGAGGAATTTTGATCCTCTCTGCTTACATTTTACTTTTCCTTGCGTGATAAAAAAGAATACATGTAGATAAAAGAATTGTGAATTATTATCTGAAATACCGTAAAACCTGGTTCTTTTGACCCTTTACAATACACTGCTTAGTTTATACTAATCTATTTAAGTTCGATTTAGTTGGAAGTTATAAGCTTATTGAAACACCCTCGAATCCGTTCCTTGAACCAATCAGTACTAAGCAATGAGTGTAATGTTTCTTGCTTACGGAAACAACGGCTTGTCTTTGTGGCCAACACTCCTCAGATTACTAGTCCGACGCGTAATCCAATCGACCACGCCGCTTGAAATTGTTATTAAGGAAATATTTTCTTATAGAACTAATTAGATTCATCAATGAATATAGCCAACAAAGTTCTTCGGTGTTTTTGTATTATTGTTGCCATTTGTGACAACCGAACCTTGACGGAGCACGCTGCCATGGCAATAGAAGGGAACACAGCTTTGCAACAACACAGTACATAAAGAAACAACTAACGAAACAGTTAGCAGAACAACATCACCCAACAGGAAAAAGGGATATACTCATAGAGCTGATATTGAGGACAGACCTTGGCCATGTTATTATCAGAAATAGTGCTCAATATAAACACCAATATGTTGTTTCCGAACTTACCTAAACAATATTATAAGCAAATTAAACGTCCATTTAGAACAACCGACAAAATTGAAAATGTTGTAGGCAGATAGAAGGCATCACACAACACTTACCTTGATAATACTGTAGGCAGAAATAACGCCCATTAGGAACAACCAGAACCAGATGATGATAAAGATCATTTCATTGAAAAGATTGATAGGCAAGACGCATTGGACAGTGAAACTGAAAATGAAATCATTAGTATACGTAAGATAATGGCAATATGTATTTGCTTTAAGCTAATGGCAGAGTTTCTTTTGGATGTTTTGTATTAATATTTCAATTTATGTGATTTTGCTGATCAATATCTTTAGAAGCTTATCGTAGGAACAGAAACAATAGACAGTTATTTTGTGGATTTTGAGAACATAAATTGAACTAAATGTGATACATGTTTTAAATTAAATGTTCTACTTTAATATATCTATATGTGACGTGTTGTAAACGTAACAAAGTAATGTTAACAAAAGGCATGTAGCTTTTAAACCAGGGTATTTCACATCTTCTTTTTGAAAGACGTGCTCTAATTATTTTTGTATATCCAAAACTGCTTCTTTTTTGACATTTGTCATGTACAGACATTTTTTTATTTGTGAAAATCATGATTTCCTCTTACTCTTTGATATTCTGTAATTGGCGTATCTTGAAGTCACATAAAGTGACCTTTGGAAAACGTGGGTTAACTTTCATGTCTTCTCCAGACTGCATCATGTGTAACCAATGGAAACCATAATTGTTGTAGTCGGTTGCCATGAAAGCGCTTAGCATGAAGAATTGACCGATGATATTTCCCAGGTACAATCCCTTGATACAGATGTAGAGTGCCGTAAGATAGGTTCCTTCTCGCTTGTTACAGAAGAAGAAGAAAATGTGACTTAGCTTCGACCGAAAGCGAACGAAACAGTTGTGTTCGTACTGCTGCTCGGTGTCTAGCCATTTATCGAGTGTGCAACTCAAGTTGTCAATCAAATCACGCCTGTCGTCACGTGATTTATAATGTGACCATTCAGCGTACTTGATGATGTTTCCGATTTGAATGCCACTCCCACCGTGAAGGATTTCCCAGAAGACATTTGGAAGTTTGAAAAGTAACACTTGGAGGAGAAGGATAATCGGAACCCATTGATAATAGGTAATCTCAGCTTCCTGGTAACACAAAGAAAATGTTGTATTAGACAGGATACAGATTAGTGCATTCTTGGAATTTGCGACATGTGAAACTTAGACCATTCTTTATATAATTGTGTGTTATAAGAACATATTATAAACTTGAAATAAGTTCGTTTACTTCATGCTTGTTATGGCAAAGTTATTGAACATAGATACATGCAGTTTATTTTATGTTCTGAGAAGATTTTGTTTAACGTAATGGAAACATTTAAAAAGTTATAAAATTTTAGTTTACATCTTGCATAATTGAAATGAACCCAGACATGTACAATAAACATGAAACCAATTTCCTGACGGTTAAAATGATTTCAGAAATACTAAGTATTTCTTAAGTGTGAATTTATTTTGAAAGAGTTAGATTTAAATTTTGAAGTCAACGAAAAAGTAGAATACATCCTATTAGTTTTGAAAAAACAAGACTAGCACCTACGTCCATTGGTTCAGGCATAGATAATATTATTTAACAAGTTTTGCAAAGTGTAGGTTTTAGCCCGCAACGAGGAGCAACATTTTTTTTTTTTAAAAAGGATTAGAAATTGTCTACTACGGACTTGCCTTAACAGAAGAATGACAAAAATATGAAAAACTCTCTCTGACCTGATGAAGACTTATGTCCTCCGGAATATAGTCGTGTTGTGGTATGTAGTACGTGTTCTTGATCCAACAATAGTTGTGTACGTAATCTTCGTATGCTTCCGTGAACTCCGCCGGGGTCCAGCACCTTATTCTGTCCCAACCAAGTGGGCGGTGCTTATCAAAACAGCAAACGCCAAGAGGATGAACACCGTGTAAATATGACTCATGCGGTCCGCCCAATCATCACTCCGGCCCCTCGTCAGTTTCTTTAGTTGAGGGAGCCCCTCCCATGGCCCGACTAACCTATAATTAGAAATCAACCTTAAAAATGCATGACGTCTTTGCTTGGCACCAACATCCCTCTTCAGGGTAACCGCGTTCTCATTGGCCGCCTTACAGTGACTTAATTTTGGCTTAAAATTCATAAATGTGGCTAATACTCGGTAGAAATTGCATGGAGGTAAATTATCACCACTTTATGCTTCGAAATTCACCCTATAAGGACATGACTGTTGACATTTTCGGGGTACCGCTCAAACTGGAAACTCTTTTTGTTAATGGAGTGGACTAAAACATAATTAATTCATACATATCCTGAGGTCTGACGTGCCAATGACCGCATATGAACATAATAAATGTTAAACTGCGCCCGCATTGTCAGACAGGTCCGAGTCCTTGTCACAAGCTTTTAACAAGTTACCAAATTTTAGTACTGTTACATTTTTTCACCACATTGATGCATGGCCATTTTTCTTACTTTTTCGTCACATGAACTAACACACATCTGCACTGACAAAATGGGTTTTAAATTGTTTAATTCATTTTCTCATACAGAATATCAATTCTGACAAATAATCACACGAAGTCTCATGACCGAATTGTCAAATATATACGGATATATACCCTGCCCTACGATACCTAACTTCGTAGAATGGCTGGAAATTTGACCATCAAATCACTGGTAGAAATCCCTGGTTTAAGCGGACAGTTGTGATAAAATGACCCCAACCGCATGGACATGCCATATTATGCATCTCTTAACGCTGAATTGAGACTGGAGACACACAAGAATGGAATGTCAAAACAATTCACTCGAGTACTGCTCGTGTTTTCCAATGTCAATGTCTTTATTTATTGAAATTGTAATTGTGAAAACTAGAGGAGCCAATACCAAAACAGATTAGCCTAATGGTTGTGTTGTTAGCCTGCTTATCCATGTCTTGTAGGTTCGAGCCCTGCTGGTCTCACGAATACATTTCCAGGAAGCGGATCCGAATGTGGTCCAAATATGTTATAAGCTTTTTTGTCATAATAGAGCGAAAATAAATGTATTCAAAACAGAAAAAAGCAAGCAGCTTTTCGGAATATACTTCGAAAAATAACTAAATCACATCGAAACATATCGAAACTAAATGTGTTTTAATTAACGATATTCTAATTTCAAATTAAATGTAAATTTTAATACTTACATTTTAAAGTCCTTAAATAATACCTTTTTTCATTCAAAACAATAAGCTATGTTTTAGAGAATGTTTTCGGAACAAATTAACCAAAATATAAACTATAAATATTCAAACCATTCGCTAAAATCCCAAAATTATTTACAAAGAAGTTCCTTTATTTCAAGTTTGACCCATTTAATACCTTCCTTTGGTGGCATTTTCTTTGACTAATTATTTGTTTACATCATCTATTGTTTTAGCAAGTGTTAAGTATTTGTTATGATGAATAATAATAATGCCTGTAATTGTAAAAGAATGACTGTAGGGATTTAGTAATTGTAATTATTGAATGCGATCGGAAATCAGTCAGCGTCAATATGGGGTATTAGAGATATTCATCTTATCTTTTTTGAAGTGTTGACAGGAATGACTGTATGTAAAACAATAAAATCTTACAAATTACAACACGTCTTAAAATAAAGAATAATGATAAATATTTGGCCCACAAACAGTAAAAAATTCCGTTATGTTGTTATTAACAATGAATTAATAGATTACTCATTCAAATTCAATAAGTAATCCTGGTGCGATTGCATTAGCTGCAAGAAAGAGTCGCCCTTGCCTATTTGCAGTAAAAAGTACGTACAAAAAGGGGGCATACTTCAAACAAATTTGAATATATCCCCTTGTAAAATCAACTGTTTTAATCTTATCTGCATATAATATATAGTTTTTTTATAATAAGATAAGCTGTAATGGTTATATCTTAATGATATATTACAAAGCGTTTGAATGTAGTTTTAACTGTTTTGTCTGAAACAAATACCTACGTAGAGGCATAAAAACTAGACGAAACGTATGGTCCGTAATTATAAAGATAACTCTGTGGACTATGATCGCACTTCTGTCACTAAATTTCCGAATTCTTGATATAAAAAAGACTAAAATTTTAACATTAAACGAAATGTAGGTGTTGAGAAAAAATACACCCCCTCCAAACAACAACAACAACAACAACAAAAACAACAACACATGCCCCGTAATGTCGTTTTAAATAACAAAGTATTTATGACATTTCCTAAATGTTACAACAGTTTGACATTTCAGAAAAATGTCATTTCGTGGTCAAGGTTACATTCAATAAGTCACGACGAAGCTCTTAACCCTTTTCCACATGGACACGTGTTTAGACGTATGTGCGACCAGTGCAGATCCAGATCAGCCTGCACATCCATGTAGTCTGATCAGGATCTCCATTGTTCACTTTTAAATCCATTATAAGAATTTCTGACTAAAAATCGAACAGAAGAGATCCTGATCAGACTGCACGGAAATACAGGCTGATCTGGATCTGCACTGGTCGCACATACGTATTTAAACACGTGTCCATGTGGTAAAAGGTTAAACCTGCTGGAACCGGAACTTATTAGCATTTGATACTAGTGCAGAGCAAGTCTCCAAATCCATGCAGTCTGACTAGGCTCGAAACTGTTTGTAGCTTCTTTTTTGTTTTTCAATATCAAATTTCCATACACTTTGAATGGATTAATTACATAATTTTAGCAGATTAAACATTAAAGGGCGTTCAAATATTAAGGCTACATTTTACGGATCGAGTATCAAAGGGTCAGAGTTCAAGTTATCCATAGAGACAGACGGACAAACAAATTTAAAATGAACACTATCCCTCCAGATCTATTTGGTCAATGCGAGGTCATAGAAATAAAGGAATGAACAAAGAACATATGGAATGTTGAAGATATATTTTTGTAAATTCTTACTGTTTATTTGCAAACAATGGCGTCATATAAGTCTTGAATAAAAATATATTTTTTTATCATTTTTTTTATCATTTTTTTCATATTTTATCTAAAATATTCAGGTGATTAATTAAGTATAAAACTGAATGATAAAATGCGCAGGTATGAAATAAATGGAAATGGGGCCATTCCTTGAAAGCAATACTATTGCATGGAATTTTAAGACTCGGTGTAACATAAAATTCTTACAGATCATTAAATCACAAAGAAAGTCATTCCATTACTAATTATGATCAAACAAGAGTTAAATTAACAATAATCGATATAAAGATTAACAATAATCAATTAAAAGATAAACAATAATCAAGTTTAAGATGAAATGTTTCTATACATAATTTTCACTAATATTGATCACGAAATATTTGTGCAAAAAGATCAAAACCTTCATGTTCTCATGATATCCATTTATCTACACAAGATGTCAATGTTACTAAAAACATCCTTTCATTAAAAAAAAATACTCTTGCTTATTTCATCGTATTCAAAGTTCCAAAGTTATTTTGTGTTCACTCATGCATATACTAATTGCTCTCTATTATTTACTAAAACTTCCTCTTTTTTCTCTTTTTCTAATGTATTCTGTTCTTTTCGTTTCCTCTCATTTTCATCGTCCGATTCCGGTTCATTCAGTTCTTTTCGTTTATATTCTCTCCACATATGTTCCAGTACATCAATTACAACCAGTTCTGTAGAATTCTTCCCTATAGTCCGGGCCACAAAACATCCATCATTTCTAAAAATACAACAACAACCTTAAATCAAACTACATACTTTGTTTACAATTCATTATAACCATTGAAATATTCTTATTATTATCGTGTTAATATAGTTGATGTCATGACGTCATCAGCCCTCACAATTATGTAAATGTTATTTATGACGTTTTTCAGAAATTTAACGCCACGCGTTAAATCATTTTGTAATAAAAAAAATCCTAAATTCATATCTCTTAAAAAGAGATATCATTAAAATATGGTGTTTGATTTGTGCCGTGTCGTATTTTTGCCCCGCAGGTCGCCAAAGGTGAATTTTGTCGTATTTACGTGTTTTTGTCCGGTGCCCCGAGGAGCAAACATAGGACCTGGCACAAATCAGCCACCATATTAAACTCGTGCAGAATAGCTGTTTAAAGTTTTAGATTGCATCCTGCACCAAATAAACTCTCCCTTTGCCCCATCTAATTACTTTATTGTAACAAATGAATCCTCTTAAACTAATCAAAGTTAATGCAGTGTATGAAAACAAATTTACATAACATAATGAAGACTGGTTTTGAAAATTATTACATTAGGAATTTCAATTCTGAAAGAGTTTTCCTTAAACTCGATTTTGTTATTTAGCTTGTTTTTAAAGATTGTTTCACACAGAAACTAAAACACTTTCTGATTGTGAAATTTGGGGCAATTAAATACGTTAAATGCTTCTTCTTATATCCTTGTGAAATATGGGGATATTGTTTCTTTTTGTTGTTTACTTAATAAATATTGTTTTCTTTTCTTTTTGTTTTTCATTTGTGAAAGCCTGGACTAACAAAATGTTATTTTACCTAAGATAATCTTCAGCAAATCGCCTACATAATTGTTTATCTGTTTCATTGTGCAATCTATTCGATAATACCAAATATTTCTTCACAAAATCATAGTTGTTTTTCTTTATCACAATCAAGTACACCCACTGCAAATAAACATTGTGAACTGCACGTATATATAAAACACGTACACATATATACGCATATAATAATCAAACAGGTGTTGTATATGATATCACTAATTTGTAATCAACACATTTAATTAAATATTGTTTAGCATCAACTTATCTGCTATATCAGTTTCAAATAGTAAATACCGGAAGTTTGTCTATCATATTGTATCTTGCTATAGTATATCGCCATGTTGATTAGCCATGTACCTTTGGTATGTTCTATTCTGTTAATTAATTATATTATAATTCAAAACCGACACGCTTATGTGAAACCAATGTGCTGATTTGTTGATAAACCGGACAAATTTATATCTATTTTTTCAATAAGAAAAAAATATAACAATACAATGTACTTTTAAAAATCAGTATTTGCTGATTATAATTATAATATTTCAATTTGAAAGACGTGCATGCAATGTTGTAATCTTTATTTTCAAATGTTTAAGCTTTGAAATTATCCAATATATCAATGAAAGTTCTAAGTCATTGACACGTGTTGATATATAGTAAGGAAAATATGATGTTATAAATTAAAAACTGTCAAATGTATAATTATATCAGTGTAACCACTAATGCAAATATTTACCCCTAACAAACCCAATATAAAGATGTTATATAAAAAGCAAATTCTCACTTTGTATGTTCTCGTGTATACGATTTCTACGAACAGGATATGAATAATTATAATGTAAGATCACATAAGTGGATTTCTTAGAAAATTTCAAGATAGATGATCCAGCAAATTTTGATCTAACTGAACCTCATCTCTGATAAAATGGGAATTGTGATAAACCCAGTAAGTTCTAATTTTAATGACACTCATCCGTTACTTATCCGTTGCAAAATGTCAAAACCGATAAACCAAGCAGGTTTTCGTACAAATGAAACTGATGCCGATAATTTTGATGAATCCAGAAAGTTCAAACTTAAAATCTGCATGCCTTACGATGAGCCAAAATATTGAAAGAAAATCTAAGTTGAGAAACAAGTACTCAGATTTAATATTAAAGTAATAATTTACATCCTATGTGTGCTTAATGTCTGATTTTGCAATATTATCAACATAAACAGTTTAATTTGATAAACAAATTTACCAAAAATGTAGAAAAATGGACAGGTTAATAAATAATATAGGTTGTCACCTTGATAAAACTGATGCACGTGGAAACAGCAACGACAACAAACCAAAACCAAAGGAAGATAAACACCCTTTCGTTGAACAGGTTAATTGGGAGTACACACTGGACAGTAAATCTGAAAAAAAAGACGCAGAAAATTCAATACAAAACAAAACTTCTCTAGACTCATGCCGTTATCTTTATAAAATATCAGTTTTAGCAATGAATAAATGAATGAATTAATAAAGAATGAATGAATGAATGAATGAATAAATAAATAAATAAATAAATAAATGAATGAATGAATGAATGAATGAATGAATGAATGAATGAATAAATAAATAAATAAATAAATAAATAAATAAATAAATAAATAAATAAATAAATAAATAAATAAATAAGTTAGTTAGTTAGTTAGTTAGTTAGTTAGTTAGTTAGTTAGTTAACTATTAATTAATTACGTCAGAAATCATATATTTTTATAAAATGATTACCTCTGTATGTTGTTAAGCTGACGAACTTCAAAATCGCACATTGTGACTCGAGGAAACCTTGAACTTTCCTTCATAGGTTCTCCATTTCGCATCATGTTCACATACTCAACCCCTTGCGTTTTAAAGTCCATGTCCAAGAACGAACTTAGTAAGAAGAACTGGCCAATAACATTGCTTAAATACATCACTTTCGTGCACAAGTAAAGCCCTGTCAGAAAATTACCCTCTCTCTTGTTGCAATATAAACAGAATATGTGGGAAAATCGCGCCTTGGCGCGTACCATTACATTATGCTTATACGGTCGTTGAATTTGAATCCAGCGCTGCAAAACTTTAGATAAATTTTTAATGACCTCTTCCCGCTTTTTAGGGTCTTCGCTTTGCGTCTCGTCAGCTAATGCACGGATCTTCCCAAGATTTAGTCCAGAGTGAACGTTCAGAAGATTCCAGATGAAGTTTGGGAAGTGAAACATTAGCGCTTGAAAAGCAAGAATGAGCGGTACCCATTGATAATAGGTAATCTCTTCTTCCTGAAATCATGATAAAATATTTAAATTCAAACATGTTACGTTGTTTTGGAATTTGTGAAACGAATATGCCATTTCTTCTCAATAAAGTGACATTATGCCCATCCAAGTCTCATTGTTGAGAGCACATGTAAAATTTAAAATAGCTTGACATTTTGCAATAATTGTATTCAATTTTATGTTTTACAGTGACCCACAACATTTCTCATTAGAAATGTATCCGTAAATTTCAATTTTTAAAAAGAGCGGAACATTTTTTTTTATAATTAAGGTACTTTATATATTTTATCTTAAACATTTTTCATTATCAAATATTGAGCCAATCTCTTGAAATATTCCACCAATGCAACTCGATCTGCCCGAAAAAGTAAGCATAGTATCATTTTAAAAATAGTCCAGGCCGATTTCGAACACACAACCAAAAGAGGCAGTTGGAAGTAATTGTGCTACAACAAATAGTTGAAGTGTGTGTGGTTTCGTTACTGTACATGTATGTAATAATATTTGAACTCGAGAGTGCTCGTCTTTAACGCTCTTTCATTGCTACAAATCATTTATGCGTCATAATTATTTAACTCGTTATAAAAGTAATCAAATGTTTCAAACTTACCTGTCGTTGTTGAACATCCGTAGGTATAGTTTCTAGCATCGGTATGTAATATGTATTACTTATCCAGCAATAGTTGTTGATATAGCTTTCATGGAACTCTTTCAGCTCTGCAGGTGCCCAACATTTTATCCGGTTTTCACCAACAAACTGTACCGTGCTAACCAATATCGCAAAAATTAATAAAAGCCCCGCTGTAAAAAGATGACTTAGTCTGTCCGCCCAGTCGTCTGTGCGGCATGATTCCTTGAATTTTGCATGTACCGATGAAAACGATTCAAAATGTCTGAAATTTATAAACAGGAAAAAAGTATATCGTTAAATCTGGTGCTTCAACAAAAGATTCGTAACGTTTTTTTCACATAGTTTCTAAATTCTTTCCTCGTGCAGCATTATCTTACTTGTTTTTGTCTAAGAAATCTCAATCTAAATTAACAAAACTCAAGGTTATATATTCATAAATTTTAAACCGGAAGTTGTGAATGTATTATCTAATATTCGTAATATCCATCAACCTTTTGTTGTCACAAAATTTAACCATGAAAACAAAACAAAAAAGTGATAAAAATTGCAATATAAAGCGCTTATTGTATAAGTAATCATAAATTAACAGTAGCAACAACAACAAAACGTTAAAAAATACTTACTTCAAAACCATGTCTCTATTTTTTCTTTCGTTTCGTCCAATTCATAATAAATTTTTATCATTTTAGTATATTATCAGTCCTCGAGGTATCATATCAGTCACTTGGCTATCAATTTTACGTGACGTGAAGATGCTTTGTGAAAATCCAGGAGATAAAACCCCTAAGTTTGGGGATCCCTACCGTTACAAGGTAAAAACAAAAATTCCGGACTGACCATTTTGTTGATACACAATATACTAACTGCTGTGAAGCCGAACTCATCGGACCTACATTTTTTCTCAAATCGTATATCAAACAACGAAAAAGTGCTAACTTAAGTCATAAAGCAAACCACATGGGCCCTTTTTGCACTTAATGTTTATTTAGTTTCCCATGTCATCAGATATGTTAGTTAAAGATTATTTTGCTTCTTGTATGTTTTCTACCGTTCGGAACTTGTGAAGATTCGTTTTGTTGCAAAGTTTGGTCTGAAGTATATCCACACTGCAGGGAAGACGATCCCAGACAGTAAAACATTGTTTGATTAGATATAATTACTCAAAAAACTGTATAAACATACGGTGTGAAGCATATACTCCATGTGGAGTGGCATTTTATGTCAATTTGAAAATTCTTTTTAAAAGAGTTCGTTGTCTGTTGGATATATGAAGATTTTCTACAAACATTAAGAGATTATCCAGGCCAGGCTTAGAGAGCTGTGAATAGCAGAAAAAGGTTGATACTTTAAAACCGGCGGCTTTGTACATCGGAGATTGAATTTTTCAAGGTATATAATATTTATATAAACGTGCCTGATTGTTTTTGATATATTGGTTTTATATATAAATATATCGATGTGAATAATGAACAAGTAGATAACAAATATGTTTGTCAAGATATTGTTGGTCCAATTACTGACCCGGTTAAAATAATTGACCCGGATAAAGAAAACGAATATGGTACAAAGCGAGATTGAAACGTGATAATCTATGTCATCTGTTTATAATTGACCCAGGATAAACTTGACATAACAATAAATAGTGGCTATTTAATTTTCGTCGAACAGCTACTCCTCTTATTTTGGACTGATATATAGAGTACATTTTTTCAATACTTATTCGGAAAAAATATGTTCCTTACCAGAGATTGTCTTTTAGAATGCCTCTTTATTGTAACGAACAACATTTTGTCTGTAAACAATTAAAAAAGATTTGAAGTGAAAGGTTTTTAATGCGGATTCCGACTGTTACTGCTGATTAATGAAAACCTCGTTAGGTAGCACACCACACTAATTATAGCCACAGCTTCGAATGGCCAGGGAGGATTTCCTTCGACCTTGTGACTTTTTTGGATTTAAATGACTGGTTGCCTTTAAAGTAGATTTCCAGTATTAAATGTGTGTTTGTGACTTCTAATATGACATCAAGCAATTTCGAAAACATGGCCAGAAATTAAAAGCTGTTGAAAATAAATGTCAAGAACGAAAGTCTTTTTGTAAACAATACTTTTGGGCTGTATACTCGGTAAAATCAAGTCATTTGTTTAAACTTTAAGCAACTGCAAACAAAAAAAAAAAAAACAATGAAAAAGTCTAAGCACCAGTTTCTTTGTGACATTTCACGCGCAAAGGGATTTGCTAAAGCAAAACATAATTCTGTGTCGCATACCATTGCAGGTTTTATTGCTAGAGCGACAAAAACTTTGTTTCAAGCCTCGGACCACAGTAGTTTTTCGGATTCTAAGCAGCTTTATGAGCTGTATGACTAATGTAAATACCGGTATGACAATATTAATATAATTTTGCCATGTTATGACATCATTATGTCCTCAGCAAAGGTATGTCTCATTTATCCAGGTTGTGCAGTCTAGGGTCAGAAATATCAGACGTTTTTCTTAAAGGACGTTGACGTCAGGAACTTGAAGGGTAATACAACCACTATACGTTCATAAAAAACTCGGCACAATTCACCACTTTCCGTGACTTAAAATGTATATCAAGCGTTCTTTACACAATCTTGTCATTTCATTGGTTAACAAATTAATTTGACAGATACGGATATCGACGAGTTTACCGGGTTTATCCGAATTGTTTTGTGAATGAAATTCCGTAAATGGGCGAAATGAATTGTGTTCGAGGCACTATCTATATTTTAGAAAGTCTAATTAAAAACATGTTTATTCATGTTAGTATTACGTAATATGGCCACATTATGTAACACATGAATACACTTAATATCATATTAATAACTATATTTATATACAGTCTTCAAATTGGGGATATTACATATGATTATGAGTGTCCCTATCAAGATTGTAAAATGATAACGAATGAGTCAATTCGCGATTATTCGGAAATACCTCCTTCAAAGTACTTACTTAATCACTACTATAGATATGTATCAAAAATTCGTCCACTTGCGTTTATGACGTCATTAGAGTTCGAATGTAAAACGCGGCTTTTCAGCCAAATAAAGGTTTTTGATAATATGTGATGAAGTGCTAATCGTTTTTCTCCGTAAATCTTATGTATTTTCAAGTAATTTCATTATGCGCCGCGCTGTCACATAATATACAAGCGTGTATAGTTCCATCTTTCTGCAGACAGTTCCGGTTTCAAAAGAATATAGCCTTTTTTTCAAATTGTATTCTTTGCTCACCCAGTTCGTTTTCACGTTATTTAAAAAAGACATATCCGTGTCAAAGTGTTTACAATTGAGAAGACACGACTGATAAAATAAGCGGAAACAATCCCTCGATGTCTGAAAAAGGCAAATAGGTGAAACGGTTGGCTGAACTGATTTTTTTCTGGTTGCAGATACGAGCATTAGACGTTTGAAGAATATTTAAATCGATAGAAACTTATCAATAATCATTTCAGTATGAAAATGAACTTATAAACCCTTAACTACTTGACCAACTACCATTTCCGGAATAATCCATAATCAATTTGGGGAGATCAAGATAAAAATACAAAGTTGGATAGCCCAGATTATCTTTTAGTGTGGTTTTACGGCACACAATGTAGGTGATATTGCGCCGAAACAGGAAAGATGATGGCTAACCTGTGTGTTACAAATTAAAGCAGCACCATGGATCAAAACCACCTCGTCTGCCGAATCTAAGAGAAGCATAGGCTCCCATTAAAATGAACCCATTCAGTTGCCTTTTACGATCATGCAGGGTTAAACAGTGGTTGCAATTATGATGCCTCAACCCTTATAGGCAACCTTCTCAGTCAAAAAAAGAGAATACTGCCTGATCGGTGTGCATGGATTTTCAGGCTTGTCTGGTCCTATATACTTGTTGCAAAGACTTATCACTAGGGTGATGTTAAAAAATGTATCAAATTTATCAGTGTATGGTGGGAATTTTTTTTTGCCTCAGTGAAAATTACTTCATTTGAAATAGCAAACCGTTGAAAATCAATAGATTGGAAACAAATTAAAACAAATTGATCAAAATCTGAAACATAAAATAAGAATCCATATACATATATCCATCTCAATCATAAAGTCAGATATGTTTACAGATATATCACTGCCTTTAAAAAACATATTAAGTGAAGCATATGCTTTTTAGGTAGCATGCTATCTCTGGGGACCTAAAGCTGTATGCCCTAAGATGAGCCGAAATATTTCAAATAAATCAAACTAGATAAAACTGTACATAGATTTTAAGAAAAGTAAAATGATTCAAGATTCAAGACCCTTAATATATTGCCTGGTTTTCTGTTTGACCAAGTCTGGAAAAAAGGAGTTTAGGTCGCGTTGTATTTTACGTAGAGGACGCCAGTTCGAGCCCTCAGTTTTTCCATCGGGCATCTAGCAGAGGTGAAAATGCTGACCGTAATAAAGTTGAAGACCTTGGCGTCCCCGCGTGTTTTTTTCCTTATGATATAAAAAAAGCTAAGAATATTTTTTAACTTCCTACATAATCTTTAATATTTATTGTTTGTAACTTTTCATGTAAAATAAACTTTTGCAATAAACTATTATCCATAAATTGAATCATTTTATTGGGTGCAATACAAATAAGCTATATGTACACCCAATAAAATAATTTAAATATTTGGGCGATAAAGCGAACGTTATAAATTTTAACCTCACAATTACCAAATACAGACTTTTAAGTATAAAGTACATTTTTGTGTACGATTACCTGACATAGTGAAAGTTTTTGGTCGTATTACACCATCTACCATTACATCAACTTGATGTGGGAAGGTCAAAAATAATTTGAAATTTGGATAACAAATAAAGACATTCACAGTAACAAACCATTAAAAGTGATAAGTACATTCCAAAGGGCATGTTTCATAAATAGTACGAATATTTCACTATGTAAACTTCATGGATAAATTATATTGTAACAAGAATATTAAAATATACTATGCTCATCTTTGTGTACATTACATTTATTTGCAAATATTTATTGAAATCTAGGAAACTCTTACTGCATATGTCAGATTTAAATAAGAGAAAGCATAAACTAAATTTGGGAAGCTGCATTCCCTATTACATAACTTGTCAAGTTGATTTCGTCCTTTAAAAAAACGACCATTTTATGACACATCCATTTTTTCTGTGGTCACCTATAGTGTGTAGAATTTAAAACGTAACATTATCGTCTCTGTATGTACTCAAAAAGATTTTTATTTCACATTTTTAAAATGAGACTGTATAGCAATTTGAGCTATTTTTAAATATAAAGTTTGAGCACAATATATCTTTAATTTATAATTCTATTTATCTTTATACTGGTATATCTTATTTATTTCTATTAAAAGGAAGGAGGAAAAACATAACGAATTCAATACTATGTTCGGGTATAGCTGTTCAGCAACATTAATTTTGTTTAAGAAGATAAAAGGCAAATATTGTATAAAGCGTATACTCTAAAAACTTTCCCCATTAATCCATTAAAATTTGTAATTTGTGAGGTTTCATAATAGTTGAGAAGGATCGTCTTCATGTTTTATTTCTTTCTTTTTTTATCGTGTTACGGTATACGCCCGTTGTGTTATTTAACAGCTTTAACGGATTTTTGCGTTGTTGTGTTACTCTATTTTTTTTGTACACTTTGACGGGATTATTTCTTTTATCAGTATTTTATTTCTGTCTTCGTTAAATGACACATTAGTCATGTCAAAACACTCATTGTAAAACATTCCAAGAAAAGAATTACGATATCCTGGATCGTGATAAAACAAATTTGGACTTAAGATATGCCTACATCCTGAATATTGCCTACATCCTGAATATATAGTAATTTGTGTGAATTTTTTAAAAGTACAATGTGCGCGTGCGTAATGATGCAATATTTGCTACAGTATCATTTACATATATTATAAGTATATTTAAGCCTAAACGTATCCGCTTTGTGGCCTATTTGTATTACAAATGATATCACTTTTCTATCTTAAAAAAATAATCCTATAGTCTTGCAATATCATACTTTTACAGGTCGAATAATAACTACTATACCGTTATAATACTTTGGATCGAACATGGCACAGAGGTTGGTCTTGTCCATTGCAAGACATAAAATATTTTGTATTATTTACAGCTTCCATAATGCAAGGGTTTTTCCATTTTAAATCATTTTATTTGACTGGTATGGATAGAACCATAATTTATCTGTCCGCTTCCTGAAGGTCTCAAAACGTTTCAAACCTTAAAACTTTGACTTTGCATGCCTTATTAACCATCAGCTATATATGCGTATAGGCAAGTCATTAGATACTTAACTTTTGTTACATTTGCCAATTATTCCTTTTCCAATATGCGCCAAAGCACTGAACCTTTAAAGTATCTTTCTATATTTACTAACGGACAGGCGAAAATCGTGCAGTTTGGCTGATGGGCAAATTGAGGAAAGAAAACAAACGCAATGGTTTTATATATGTTTATGGCTTCGTTTATTTTGTTATTTTTTTCTAATAACTTCATTTGTAACACAAAAAGATATCAAAATGATCATGCTAAATATATACATATTATACAAAAAGATCCGAAAAGTGATATGTGCTTCACCTGACAGCCATTTCGTTCGTTTCGGGAAATTATAATTATAAAAGCACATTTATATTTTCGGGAATTATAACGTATTCGGTTTTCATTTCAGATTAGCAATCTTAAAACAAACAAAATTACTTGACTTAACAAAAATCTGAATTTTAAAACTGAATCTGCGTAAAAAATATGATTTAAAGAAACTGCTAAAATCTAACAAGTAAAATATTTAAAAAAACTGAAAGGCATAAAATTGTCTGTTGCCAAAACATTCTAAAAACAAAACAAAAGAAGTTTAATCAAGGAAATGTTGGTTAAAAATTAAATAATTTCTCACCTTTGAAATGAGATATTAAAACTAACAGCAATTTTAACAATTCTACAACTACAAAATAATGCATATACCTATTGATTAAACTAATTCTATTTAAATTTTTACTGGCATAAAATTGCCGAGGCTGCTTTATATGATTCTCTAATAAGCATTTTAAAATGATTACTTATTAAATATGCCGTTTACCAATTATGTTTTCACTAGACCGCTCAAATAATCAATCATTCAATTTTGTGTAACAAATATCCACAAATCTTTCAGCTATACACAGCGCGTGTTGGAACAGTGCCAATATATTTAGTGTGTTGGAACAGTGCCAACAGCGCGTGTTGGAACAGTGCCAGTAAAAACTAAATCGAATCTAAAAATAAAATCATAGTAAAAACACATTAAAAAGAACATGTTTTGAAAATAACACAAAACATTAACCTTCAACCGTAATGGCAAGTTATATAGTAAAAAGCTCTTATGACCTTTAAAATATGAAACACATGAAACAAAATTTAATGAAATAATTGTAGTTTTCGATGAAATATTGTAGAATGAAATACACGTGCAGAATCACACACACATTAAAATGTTACACATATCCTTATATATGTACATATATTGCGTTTGCGTTACTATGTGCCATTAAAATAACACATATTCAGTATGGTTTTTTAGACATATATTTTAAAACAATGATTTCATAATAAATTACCTTTTCACTTTAGAACGGCACATAAAATACTCGTTTGTAATGAAAACATTCTTTTAAGGCCCTGTTATCTAAAGTAAGTTAATTTATATTTTAACATTCAAGAGTACACTTAACTTAAGTGTTTAAAACAAATATGCGGGGGTGATATGAAATATTATGAAGGGCGGACGAGATTTGAAAAATATGCAGTAAATTTATAATGACCCATCAAAAGGTGTCTACGTTTATTACACGCCCATGTTTCACTCAAGATATCTGATATCAGCAGATATTGTACATAGATGACAATTGCAGCAAAGATATATATAGATATAAAATTTGAACACCTGTTCCATCAATATTGTAAAAAAAACATTGATAAAAAAATTTTTCAGACACAGAAAACTTTTTTTTCACAATACAAACTTTTTTTCACAACAATAACTCTGTGCTAAAATTTACAAGTACTGCAAAAAGTATATATAATGTAAACAGCCCAGCTCTTTGTTTAAATTTAAAACATACACTTTCAGGACATACAACACTCCTTTCATTTTTCAACAGGTCAGTATGAATATTTACAGCATGTGAAACAATGCAATATCATAATTATTTATCATTGTTCGCAGTGGCCTGTTAAAAATACGGTTTTTGGCAATGCAATTACAACAACTAATGGTTCAATATCGGAATGGTTAAGACTTTTGTCCAAGATTTTGCATATATTGGTCCCTGATTTGTTTTACACATAAGAAAATAAGGTAAGGCACTAGTGTAATAATCATTATTGTGAGAACGTTAGAAAAAAATATTGAGCGATTATTTTTTTTAAAAATTCTAAAATTGATAAAATAATGGTTAACATGTTTTAAATGAAAGCACCATAATTTCGTGTTTTGGAAGTATAAAAATACAAAAATACATATACATGTATCTTGGAAGACGGTGAAAGCGGCCATACATAGTCATAGAGACATAATCTAAAACCTGGGCTGAACTTATCAAATATGAAACGTACACAGAATGCCTTTTCTTCATAGAATGCCCTTTTTGTAGTTCAACATACCTAAGAGAATCTCTTTTTTAATATATATTTTTGAATATTAGATCTAGTTTAGTTAAGGATTATGCAATAGTTCCAAAGATTTGGTTTGTCCAAAAAGAAACGATCCACTTGAAAGATTCAATTGAAATCAAATAACACGTATAGTAAATATTTCTGATTTGAGATCAAGAACGTCCAGTCCAGGTTTTAGTTTATGCATATGTGACAAAATTCAAAACAGTGTCAACAAATGGAAATTATAAGAAATAAAATTTACATACATCATTGTCCATGCTTGCGCTTGAAATAATAGAAGCTATTATTATTATACATTTATACTGGCATTTTTGTCATATCTATCACATAAGTACACAATAACAACCTCATGCATAAACTGCCTCAAATTGTATATTTTCCTACAGTGTTTTTCTCTGTATGTTATGACATACATTTTAATACGTCATTTTTTCTCTATAACTATCTTTGTAGATTCTAAAATATCTAGCATAAATTTCTCTTTTTTAATAAACAAAAAAATCCATTTTTCTATTCTTTTACCTAGTTATGACGTCGTTTATAAATCCATTATAATGACGTCATAAAATCAAATATGGCGTCTTCAAGACACGCGCGAACAATTTCTTATAGAAATGAAATCATCCATGAAACTGATGAAATGTCTGTTTATATCTTTCTTATAAACAAATGAATGAGACATAAAAATAATGCAGTTTGACTAAAAACATATATGACGTCATTAAAACATGCGAATAAAAACATCTATGACGTCATTAAAACATGCAAATAAAAACATAATAACAGATTTGTTCTTTTGGAAACCGCTGTAGGCCTAACGGCTGTTTCTGAGTCTATTGCGCCATGACGCACGTCCTACGTGTCTTTATCACCTATCAATCACCTTGGACCTAACCTGGCCCTGGGTTGTACACAGAAGGTCTTAAATCACTTTTACTGAAACAGAATTATAATTTTCATTTTTTTTTCTACAATTTTTACTGTTTCTTTTTTCTTATTATTTTTTTTTATTTTATATTTTTTAAATTTTAACTCATTATGACTGAGTCTCGATTTTTTTGAAAGACCTAGTGCACAAAATTATTAAAATCTAACACGATTTCAAATAATTTGTCATTGGTCATTTTAATTAAAATTTTTATAAATGAGAAAATTTCATCTTTAGTAATCTATCACTGTACATTATTTCCTCTGAAGTCCAATGGTGACGTGTCTTTTTCTTTGTCAATCAATTTGGACTCCTCGTCCTCGGGGTACTCGGGCCTCGGCTCCTCCCTCAGTCTGTAATTCCTCCACATGCAGTCTAACAGGTCTGTGATCACCATGTCTGTAGAGTTCATGCCTATCATTCTAGCCACAAAACAACCATCGTCTCTACAAGATTGAAAGAAGTACGATTATATTATTTTCTTTGTAAATATAAAGTATTATGCCCCAGAAACAAATATTTTTTTACTTCTTTATAAAAGGCAAAACGTGAATTTTACAATGTTTAAATAATGGTTTCGGAGAATGTTAGATGCTTGTTACCTGGAGGAAAATGCGACACACGTGAAATCAATTGTCATACAAAAAGCAAAACGTAAACAAATTAGTATTTTGACGTCCATACAAAACTTATGCACCATAATTGTACTTATTGCCAAAAGTCAACAGATGAAAAAAGATGGTTCAGATGATTGGCCAATGAGTAACTTTTTGGATACTATAAAAGAACACCAAAATTAAAAGCCTTTTGATGAATGGAAATAAAAGCATTTTTGAGGCATAATGGGCCTTTATAATTATATAAAAAATACATACTTTGCCATACTCAGCATATATCAACTTACAAGAAATGTTTCTTAAATTGATATGTAAAAAGTAGAAATTTACATTACATGTAAAATTCGGAACAGAAATAGGATAATGTTCATTACATATAACGTTTGAATATAAGCATACCATTCACAGTGCATGAAACAGCGGACACTTAAACATGTAAACTTGTAATTTTCATTGCATGAAATCATTATAAAAACGGGTTTTTTGTAACACTTGAAATGTTACATTATGTGAAACGATTAAAAATATTTACAAGTTACCCCTAAACAAGTTACATTGCCTGACAAAGTTGCGAATAAATCTCTAAAAACGAACCTGAGATACTGTTCAGCGAATCTATGGCAGAGCTTCTTATCCGAAGCTGTTTGCATGTGGTCAGTAATTGTCAGGTATTTCTTCACGTATTGGTAATTATTTCTCTTCAATACGATCAAGAACAGCCACTGAAATGGTCAATAAACAGAAATATTATACATTCAAATAATGCAAATGAAGAAAAGATATTAATTAAACGAAAAGGACAATATTGGAAATATCCTAGCTTTATATAAGATTATATGGAAAATAAACATAAACCAAAAACTGAAATATTAACATAACAAAGGAAAGAAAACACATGATAACACCTGATAAATTGCAGGTATATTTTACAAAAATGTAAGAGACAATAAGAAGAACTACAAACAAGAAACGGCGGCCATTTTTAAACAAATGGAACTCTTTGGCTAGATTATGGAAAACATATTTTGAGTGGTTAAAACGTTGTATCGAATATGAATTATTAATGAAATATATATTCGTTTTAATGATCTAATTATAAAATATAAACGTATTAATTTGAAAGGCAGAAAATAAATAATGAATACTTGGACTAAATAAATAAATGTATCTTACCTTGACAAGGTTGAAACCACAGAGGAAAGCGATAAAGAAGAACCAAAACCAGAGGAAGATGAAGATTTTCTCATTAAAGAGATTGATGGGTAAAACACACTGGACGGTCCACCTGAAAGAATAGAATAAAGTTTGTTATCAAAACGAGGCTGTTCTGTTATCAAAACGAGGCTGTTCTGTTATCAAAATGATGCTGTTCTGTTATCAAAGTGAGGCCATTCTGTTATCAAAACGAGGCTGCTCCAACTAATGTGAACTGCAGCGAGAGTTTAATCGTAAAACTAGACAAACTTCTTTTTTATTTAAATTCAAATGATTAAAACTACACAATTCATACTCTTTGGAGATTTGAATTCAAATTGATTGTACATACTTCTTGAATAATTCAAATGGTCAGTCAAAAAAGTACTAGTATCATATATCTTAATTTTGATAGGAGTTTTGAATACCACATTTCAAAACGAGACCAGGCAATCTCATTACACTGTTAAAGTACTTGTTTTACATCACTCAAACCAAAAACTATTTTTTTCATGTTATAATAATATTGTTGAAGTTAGTTCTTAGTTACAGCTTCAATGAAAATGTCTTTGTTGAGAATGTACAATTGTAAACTGACAATGTATTCATCAAGTGTCTTTTCCACAAACAGTATATACAAACAGACACACATATCAGTTTCAATTATTGTAAATGATTTATTTATAAGTACCTATTTGTTTCAATGTATTGTGAAAAAAGGCACAATTTGTTTATACTTAAAACAGATTATTGTGTCCACTTGTAACAAATAATTTAAAATTGACTTGTTAAACCTCACATCACTTAATACGGACATAATTGTTGTATAGTGTACTTTTAAAACAATTAACAATTATTAACAACAGTCGACAATCATTTTGAATATTATACAAACATAATTAGAGTCCTTTATATACATAAACAGCAAATTGAAAGAAAAAACCCGAAGTGAATTACAATTCTCGAATTACAATTCTTGCGAAGGTTTTTAACTTTAAAAACTTATATTACGATTGCAAGGCAAACACCCTGAACTCATTTCATAATGGACCTATTATCAATGTAAACAAGTATTCTACTTTAATCAAACAATAAGAATTCACAACAGAAAAAGAAACAATAAAGCAAAATATTAGGCTATATGCAGTACGTGCGTACCTTTGTATATTTTGGAGTTGTCGGATCCTGAAGTCGCAAAGGGTTACCCTGGGGAACCTAGGGCTTTCTCGCATGCTCTCGCCAGAATTTAACATCTTTATATATTCAAATCCATACATATTATAATCTGTCGCCATAAAAGCATTGAGCAGGAAAAACTGTCCAATCACATTAGCCAAGTATAAAACCTTGATGCAAAGATACAAAGCCGTCAAGAAGGTGCCTTCTCTTTTGTTACATAAGAAACAAAAAACTCGGGAAGCCTTTGCCTTGGCGCGTGCAACGAAATTGTGCTTGTACTGCCTGTGTGTCAGCAACCAGCGATCTAAGAAGAAGCTCATGTTTTCGATGGCACCTTTTCTGTCGTCTGGGGATCCCCACTGGGTCTCGTCGGCAAGCTTGCAGATCTTATCGAGGTTGAGGCCCGATCCTCCGTTAAGCATTTTCCATAAAACATTGGGAAATTTGAAGAGGAATGCTTGGAACAATAGGATAAGTGGTACCCACTGGTAGTAAGTGATTTCCGCTTCCTGTCGACAGAAATGAATTATACATGTAGACAAAGGATATGTTAAACGCGACCGAAAGCTCTCACTCAATGTCAACAAAAGCAGAAAAATGTATTAATTATTAGAAACATATTTACATATCTTTTTTCGTTAACGTCATAAAACCAACGGCGGAACAAATGGAGGTAATTAAAATGTACATTGAATTGCAACATCTAAAAGAAGACGTTTACTTAATACAATGAATAATTTGGATGTCAAATTAATAACAGAAAGGAGTTGTGTTTTATACAGTTAATATCTTTTCTAAATTTGACCTCTATATAATTCGTTGAAAACGTGTTTGCAAATTTGACCTTTGATACTATATGTCGTTTATTTTTCGTTTACTTTCTTTAAATTATAGCCCAATTTGACCTCAATCTATCGTTTGAAATTTGTAATTTAGAAATTCTGAAGTTTTGTAAAAATTTATGGCGATAACAAACGGTGTATACCACTGATAATGCTCGGTCAAGTGGTGTACTCCATTATCTATAAATGAACCCTTTGTTGACATGGTTTCCTTATCAGACGAAAACGAGGCCGTAACTTCAAAATCAAGCGTATTTCTTTACATAAAATACTATATTCTTTACGAAAAAGTGTATTGAAATTTGTCAACATTACAATTCAATGTAACAGATGTTAACCTTTGAGATTTTTTTTTTACATCGCACCGAATTACCGTCTATAAATATACCAGACGGATGACCGTTGTTTTACTACATCTTTTAACATTGGTGAGCTGAGTGATATAAGAAGTTTGGAAAATTTGAACCTCAAAATGTAAACAAGATAAAGTATTAAAATTGTCACCACACCTTGTGGCAAACCCTTTTTTCCCTTGAAAAAAGAGAAAATAAATAAAGATCGGATAAATGCTTAAAAGACACATATGTTTTTCAATAAGAAAGAATGAAACAAATCTTATATCATTTATAAAAATACGACAATGAAACGTTTGATAGATTCTTTTTTCTCTTATATCCTTGCACAGTGTAACACTTGCCGGAAATATATGTGCCATAAATTCCGTTAGCGGTGACGTTCAATGACAATGACGTCATATGACACAACGTTAGCTTTGATAAGCGAAACTTAACGTGGATATCACAAAATTATATTTAATATTAATCAAAATTGTTTTCATTACAAGTAAATAACATATTTCAACATTGTAGCTGGCGAGGGTTCGAATCCAGCTATGGCAATAAATGATCTATTACTTATGCCATGGCCATTCACGGGGTCCTGGCATGTACATACATTCATTAAATAATTCAAACTGATTTAAAAACAAAACAAATAAATAAATAAACTGACTAACTAAAGGTAATATCAAGGTAATATAATTCTAAGTGTATAGAGGTGAAGTTAGATTAATTTACTAATAACAGCTTAACACCAATTCTTAATCCAAAGATAAGCAAATACAAAACACCAGGCTATAAAAGATTACATTTCATAATAAACAAAATAAAATTGAGCCTTGTCACGCCGAAAAGTATACCTTCATCCTATTTATCGAAGCTTGACAAAAATGTTAAGTAGAAATGAACAATAAAAAAGTTTCTTAACATCAACTTGTTCATGCTTATAAATTAAAGTGATAAATCTAACTTCTTTTTTGTGTTTTCAAGTGAATAAGCATTTGAAGGTACTTTTCGTGTGGCAGGACTCTATTTTAAGATAAATTTTAAGAAAAAATGTATCAGCTAGTAAGCTTGCTCAAAATACATTTTCACCTGAATGGTATATGTATAATAGACTAAGATTAAAGCAAGGAAGAGGAAGAGAAATTATAAACCATGCCCATAGTATATATATACAAAAAAGAATCATATTTTCGTATAGATCATATACGAAATATATTCAAGCCATATCTTAATTACTGCGACCAATAAGAATTGCTGATACATGCTGTTACATGAATTTTGATTGGTTGTTTTTTAAGAGTATAAAAATAGCAACAAATCAAAACAAGGAGAGCAATCCACCACCATTTTGAACCAACCAAAAATGAATTTGTTTAATTAGAAATTATTGGGTCCCCCCCCCCCACAAAAAAAACGCCCATCATCCATTCAGGTGAAAGACTATAAGAGAAAATTTGAGAACAACTGTTACCTGTCTTTTATGAATGTCTATAGGTATAGTTTCCATCATTGGAATATAATACGTGTTTTTTATCCAGCAGTAGTTTTTAGTATAGGCTTCAAATGCGCCCGTGAACTGTGCTGGGCACCAGCAATGAATAGGGTCACCCACAAATTGACCCGTGCTCACTAACACAGCAAAAATGACTAGAAGGAACACACTGTATATATGGCTCATTCGGTCAATCCAATCATCACTCCGGCTCGAACTGAGCTTCTTAAACGAGGGCACAGCCCCCAAGAGTCCCGCAACCCTAAAATAGAAAGAGTGCAATGCTGAAACTCTCCCGTGGGTTTTTTTTCCTCACCTGACGTATGTGTATATCAATGGGTATACTATCCCACATGGGTACATAGTACGTGTTCTTAATCCAACAGACGTTCTTGGTATAAGCCTCAAACGCACCCGTGAACTCGGCCGGGCACCAGCAATGAATAGGGTCACCGACAAACTGACCCGTGCTCACGAGAATCCCGAACAATATTAGCAACATAACGGTGTATATATGACTCATACGGTCTATCCAGTCGTCACTGCGACTGGATGTGAGCTTTGAAAACGAGGGCACCGCCCCCAAGAACGCCGCAACCCTACAAGGAAAACATGTAAAACTTATCTGCTCACCTGCCTACTGGTGTCGTCTGCTGATGACGGGGCGTAGTCATAAGAGGTTAAAATACATGTATGCATAAAATAAATAGCAATTCTGTCCGGCTAAGAATGAAAGATGATTTCCACACAAACGCAAAGAACAACATCATTTGCCTAATTTCTAAACGTTTTGTCAAGTTTCAAACCAAGTATTGAAATCATAGAATAAGTGTCTTCCGTACCAAATACGTGTCTCTCATTTTCATTCTTAGCCAAGGACAGAGCGATCCGACTAAGTGTGGGATTATATATATTATGTGCATAGATGATAATATGATACATATATGCATGTATTAAACTAGCAAGTTTTTTTTGCGCACCTGTCGCTGTGCTATGTTTACTGGAATCACGTCAAGCATGGGGATGTAATACGTGTTTTTAATCCAGCAATAGTTCTTAGTATAGGCCTCAAAGGCTCCCGAAAACTCGGCGGGGACCCAACAATGTATTGGGTCCCCCACAAATTGTCCTGTACTTATTAATACACCGAACAGTATAAGTACGAAGACCGTGTAAATGTGATTCAGTCGGTCTATCCAGTCATCGCTACGACTCGATAAGAGCCGCTTAAATGAGGGGACAGCCCCTAACAGGTCGGCCACCCTACAAACGAGAAATGGTAACACATATACATAAAACATCTGTTATACCTGCTAAATACATAAAAAGTAAGTATGTATGCTAATAATGTAAAATTTCAAGAACTTGAAACAGTTGCTCGTACTAAAAATTTAACTGAAACTATTCCGAGATGTTCGTACAAAAAAACTTTAACTGAAACAATTGCGAAATTAGATCTTCTGAACTTCTTTCAACAAAGTACATGGACAACGGAAAGGCTAGATTTTTTTTTTCAACGTGTTAGTAGGTTCTTTTAGAATTTGTAAAATCCGAAAGAAACTAAGTTGAAATTAATCAGTTAGTAATAAAAGCACATTTCTACATTAACATAGTTCGAGTTATTGAAATTTTAGTTTAAGCATCAGCGGTGGTGTGAATGAAAAATAAGTACATGTGTAACTCATGTTGTATCAGCAGACGACAGGTTTTTAAATTGAGTACTGTGAAAGTCCTATGAATATATAGTAAAAAGATTTAAACTTTTTAAGACGATTTTCAAGCAAACATTTGATTTATTTCTCAATCTCTACTAAGCTGAAAAAAAAACGAGAGAAAAGTCTTATAAATCAAAATTGGTGTATTGAACTATATTCATTTTGACAGTGTTACATAAGCTACGCGTTCCGTTTTTTAAACCTTCCGTCGCCTTAAACAATATTAAACGCATCATAAACTGTACAGTTGTGTTCAAATATGCGCAGAAAATGAGTTCATAAATGTGTAACAAAAAATAAAATACGTACATTAATTGTAAGTCTTACTGTAGTTCTTTCTGAGTGAAATCGATCTCTATAACTGATTGTAATATCTCTTCTGTCACATACTTTATATACTTTATGACTCACCATTTTTGTGTATTGCTTAAGTTTAAACCATGCAAAAATCGGTATTTCGAAATACCACTTCGTGTTACATGTGATATAAGACCCTTCAAAGCCACTCCCGTGTAATCACTTACGTCTTTTCTGGTTTATTTTATGTTTATTAAGATATCAAAAATGCAAGGCAGAGTTTAAAAAGTCCTTAATAAACAGAAAAAAAATGAAAGAAATACATGTATGAGAACAAAGTAAACCCACTTAAAGCAAAATCTTCAGCCGTTGCATTTAGGCGTAAGAAATAAATAAGTAAATAAATAAATAAATAAATAAATAAATAAATTATTATTATTATTAAGTACCATTTCATTTGTCAATCGCATTAAAAGGTCAGTGACCACTAAAATACATAAATTACATACACGAAAAGACTGTTACTTATAGAGGAGTTTGGCCATGTTAACCCTTTATCCGTGAAGATAAAAAATGTGAATAACACGTAATATATTTTTTTTAGATAATGAGACCAAATATTTCATATTTTTGGATTATCTAATCTTCTAATAGGGACATTTTTCGATCGGTCATATTTTTAAAACAGACACAGACAAAAAAATATTTTCGTGTAAGAAAACTTGAATAATACGCATTTTTCAAAGAATGTAATCATGATTTTTAAAGACAACACGAGGTAGCATTTAAATTTTAAAGTCTTAAAAATCGCATTCTTTGACACAATTGTATCAGATCTGTTGAATATTGTATTTAAATACATTTAGCAAAGTAACGGGTATCTATATTGAATAAAGAATACCGTTACGAACGGAGTTATCAGATTTTTTACTTTTTGTGTTTATGCATTTGAAACGAATCTTTTGTAATCAAATGACGTCCTGTAAAGATAAACGTCTTTGTTTTGTCGCGTATTTTATGTATTCACATTTAAATAATAATAACATAAATTACTTTAAGTTTTTTAACCAGTCTATTAATCTTACGAACTAAAACGTCCTACAAAATCATTCGCAAAGGTCAGTTCCGATCCTCGCAGAAATGTATGCGTTCTGAAAGGGGGGAAATAGAAGAAAAAAAAACGTTCCTTAAAGACTTAAAAGAAATTAACGAGCGCACATTTTGATAATTTTCCAAATTTGTTGAAATTGAAACAAAGAGCTTTTGGCAAAATCGCAATATCTTATCACCCCCATGATTAGATTGTCGCAAATTTTAAATTGAAGCCCATTTAAGCGTTGTGATTTTCATGAAAATAAATTTCCATGAGGTGACCGGTTGTGTCACCGAAAGTTGGCAACAACTTGTTCGCAAGTGTTTTTTTTAATCATAAATAAAAATGAATTGTGAAATCATAAACCAATTGTATAAGTAAGATTAAATAATGAAAGAAAATTGCTTTCAAAATTGAAATTTTGATCTCATTAAATATGATATTTCTTTTTAATTCTTTAATGATGTTGACATTTTAACTTTTTGCCTGTAACACTCTTCAAACCATCGTTATATACTTGAAGATAAGAGAAAAAATAATAATTTAGCTTTCAAAGTACAGGTGCATTTTAATAGCCAGTGGTAATGGTGCAGAGCAAACTATTTATGATCAAATGCCTTAAAAGTCCTTTGCAAACTTTACAAATGCATAGTACAAATGTTCAAACACTTTGGTAAAAGGCGGAATTGTTTATATCCCAGTTTCCCAGACAATATGTAATTAACTTAGACAGTCAGGCCATTGTCCGTGACCTATTATGTACAAAGGAACCGAAACATTACGGTAATATTACAATGCTAAAGGTTTTATTAATACATAGACCCATCAGAATTTCACGAAAAAAGACCCCATTGTCATATGTATAAATGTTATACTCTTATATCGTCACTGGAGCCCTGCCATTCCAAAACTTATATATACAAAAAATTATATATACAAATTATATATACATAGCAATTATGAAAGAAGATTCAACAATATGATATTTGTTTGTCCATATTTTTCATTGTTTTACATAAGTTTAAAAGTTTGCTAAATGTGGCATTCGTGACACTGGGTGATATACTAACTAGCTGGGGCATAACCTGACTTGTAAATGGTAACACTTGACGATATGTTTGAACTGGACCGTTCCTTGAGGTTTGAAATAATAAATCTTCAGTCTTTCATAAATAAGACAAGGATTAACTAAATAAAGCTCTTTATAATATGTAGATATTAAAGTAATTGCATAACGAGAGTTCAAACATAATTTCTATCTAAGCTGTTACTATATTTAGAAAGGCATGCATGCATATACAGTCAAAGAACAGCGCCATATAAGGTGCGCACTTGTCAACAAACGCCGCGAAGATAATTACTAGATAATTCCAAGATGTTTTGTTCCTGATATTCAGTAGTCTGGTGTAGTCATTTATGCATTTTGAACAGCTTTCGTTTGAACGAAAATTTGTATTAAAAGTCCGTGAACTGACACCATTAATCAGCCAGAAAGAGACTGTTACCAGTTTTCGCGAGTTTGGTTTAAAAGCTGTCAAAGCGGGCAGTTCATTTACTCTTATTTATAGAATAGGACCGAGATAGGTCAAATCGTTTATTTTTATAATTTTACCCAGCAAAAGCCAGTGCTAGGAAAAGGAAAGCGGTTAGTGAATGTCGTTAGTAACTTGTCAAGAAACCGGGTAAGACCGGACGGAAAAGAAGACGGTCAATGACCTGGATTTGTATATAAAATGTTAATTAATCATTGAAATAAACTGCATGTGTCATGATGATGCATGAGAAGGTATTAATTAGGCATGTGACGATGGCGAGTGCGTGATTTATTGATATACGATAATGCACAGTCAGCGAGTCAATATATTACTTATACTATATTCAATTACATTTTTTTTAATCAGCTGATACAATATGCAATTTCAATTGCGTAGATGAATAATTGTCATTTAAATATTAGCATAATTAAATGGTCTCATGAAGGTTTTATACTAACACTTTGCATTGTGCATGATATAACAATAATTTCACACCATTCGGATATGCAAATTGTGCATCGCTAATGTCATGTTGGATGAAAAGAAGAAAAAACATTATCTTGCTAGGCACTGCGTTTAAACCGATTTTGTTCAATATTTTTTTCTTTCTACGATTTGATTT